GTAGTAGTAGTGGTGATTATAATAGTAGTAGTAGTAGTCGTAGTAGTAGTAGTAGCAGCAGGAGTAGTAGTAGTAGTAGTAGTAGTAGAAGTAGAAGAAGAAGAAGAAGTAGTGGTAGTAGTAGTAGAAGTAGTAGTACTAGTACTAGTAGTGGTGGTAGTAGTAGTCGTAGTAGTAATAGTAATAGTAGTACTAGTAGTAGTAGTAGTAGTAGTAGTAGTAGTAGTAGTAGTGATAGTCGTAGTAGTAGTAGTAGTAGGAGTAGTCGTCGTCGTAGTAGTGGTAGTAGTAGTAGTAGTAGTGGTAGTAGAATAGTGGTGGTTGTCGTGGTAGTGGTAGTAGAATAGTAGTCATTGTAGTAGTAGTCGTAGTAGTAGTAGTAGTAGTAGTAGTAGTAGTAGTAGTAGTAGTAGTAGTAGTGGTAGTAGTAGTAGTAGTGGTAGTAGTAGTAGTAAGCGTAGTAAACGTAGCTGTAGTAGTAGTAGTAGTAGTAGTAGTAGTAGCAGAGGAAGTAGTAGTAGTAGTAGTAGTAGTAGTAGTAATCGCAGTCGGAGTAGTAGTAGCCGTAGTAGTAGTAGTAGTAGTAGTAGTAGTAGCCGTAGAACTAAACTTCGTGATAGTAGTAATAGTCGTAGTAGTAGTAGTAGTAGTAGTAGTAGTAGTAGTAGTGGTCGAAATGTCCGTAGTACGAGTAGTACTAGTAGATGTAAAAAGAAAAATGGGTTCAACATATACAAAACATGTAGTAGTAGTAGTAGTAGTAGTAGTAGTAGTAGTAGTAGTAGTGGTAGTAGTAGTAAGAGTAGTAGTAGTAGTAGTAGTAGTAGTAGTAGTAGTAGTAGTAGTAGTGGTAGTAGTGGTAGTAGTAGTGGTGGTAGCAGTAGTAGTAATAATAGTGGCCGTGGCAGTAGTAGTAGTAGTAGTAGTAGTAGTAGTAGTCGTAGTAATATTAGTAGTATTAGTATTAGTAGTAGTAGTAGTAGTAGTAGTAGTAGTAGTAGTCGTACTAGTAGTAGTAGTAGTAGTAGTAGTAGTAGTAGTAGTAGTAAGAGCAGTAGTAAGAGCAATAGTAATGGTAGCGGCAGCCGTAATCGTAGTAAGAGTAAGAACGGTCGTAGCCGTAGTAATAGAAAATGTAATCGTAGTAGAGTAAGTGCTGATGTTGGTGTGGTTGTGGTTGTTATTAGTGCTAGTGGTATGGTTGTTGTTGGTGCTGCTGTTCTCTTTGTTGCTGTTGTTGGTGGCGTTCTTGTTGGTGGTGTAGGTCGTCCGGGTGGCAGCTAGTATGTGGTGGGAGAGTATGCGAGTAGGCAGAGTAGCAGGCGCAGGTGTAGTAGCACGTGTGGGGGATAAGATTTGGAGCAGGGTCAATCCTGAGTAGTAGTCGTAGTGGCAGCCGTGGAACAAGGAGGATGAGGAGGGAAGCATGAGGAAATCACAAGGAAAAGGGACGAAGAGCGGAGGGGCACCTAGAATAAGGAATCAACAAGAAAGCGGCTGAGGAGGAGAAGGTGGAGGAGGAGGAGGAAGAGGAGCAAGACAAGGAGAAAAAGTTGCAGCAGGAATGGGACACGAGGAAGAAGAGGACGTGGAGGGAGAGAAGGAGGGATGAGAAGGGTGACATCATAATGGAAGGGGGTTTACTTGACAGAGTGCACGAACCCATGCATCATCCAGCCACCGAATACAGAAATCGCGACGACGGACATGTTTAAAACATTTGGGCCGGCCAGGCAACAAAAACACAAGGCTTTATACCCCCAGATGAACATCTAGACTTCCCACCGGATTCTCACCCTGGGGATGCCCAAGATGAGAACCTGGTCCCGCAGAATGCGTCGAGACCTCCGGGGGTCCACTCCAAACCTCTGGGACCTTGAAACCAGGGCCCGGCAAACGGAGGCTTCTTGATTCACCATATGAGCGACGACCGAAAGCGGGTCTTGCGCGACATGGCGTAGCGGCCTTACGCGGCGGCTTACGCGGGCCGCCAGCGCGCACGCTACGCTGGAGGCGAAGGCGCTTACGCGCTGGCGTACGCGGGCAGCTTGCGCGCCACTGTCGGCGCAGACGCCCCCATTCCTGGGCACGCCGCTCCTATGACGCTGACGCACCCCGTGGAAGCTGCAGCCACGGGCCGAGGCGACCTCCGCCCGTTCTCTTGTGCCAGCAAGGGGGGGTTGCAAACAGGGCTGAACCAAAACGTTGCTTTTCATTTGTTGTGTGTGTTTTTGCTTTTCGTTTTGCTCGACCCTTTTTAAGGTGCCGCCAACGAAAATCACAACACAGCCGAAATCCAGCAAAGCGGCGTTTAGGTCCAGCCCTGTTTGCAAAGGCCTGGCTCCCGAGGACTTGAGCGCAGACCCCCGGGGGCGCGACTTCTTCGCAGCGTGGATCCCCAGACGTCTCGACACACCATTCTCCGAGACCCGCTTGGAATCTAGAGGATTCGCAGTTTGGCGGCCCCGTGGCCTGGCGGGGACCCTCAGAAGCAGAACATAACAACAAACACCCTTCCAGCCCCCTGAGATCCGACGTCGCGGCAAACATGGTAACATCGCAGGAAGTCGCGACCAGAGCTCTAGAACCTATCTTGTGAACGTGTGTTCGCTCGGCGTTTCGGACATGAACCTATCTTGTGAAGGTGTTCTTATCCGGCGTTTCGGCATTGGGCGGAATGGCCGGGGGGGGGAGGGGGGTCTGGCTCCAGACCTCTGCTTAGTGGAACCGAACGTTCTCTGGGGAGACTCCGCCTGCTTGAAGCCAGCGCCAGAAACAGCCTAAATCTATTATATAGGGGGGAGGGGGGGGGGGAGGGCCCGCGCCGATCGGCAAAATCATGAAGAAGAAAACGATCACCTTTTCTGCAACACATGTTTCGAGCCGGAAAGGGCCCTGGGAGCAACACAGGCTGAAATCGGCGAGTATATCAAAAACGCAACGCCGGGATCTCAGGGTTCAGTCGTACTTTTTGACGCAAGGTGAAAGGGTTCGGGTCTGGGGGGAAGAAAGTCCATCCCTGGCCCAGACCTCTCCTGGGGTGCGTCTCGACCAGTACCTGGAGGCCAATCCAGCCCCGGCGAGGAGGCGTCCCTCCCAGAGGCCCCACAGAGCCTCGGCCCCTCGAAGCTCGAAGACCGCTGCATCGAAGCTCGAAGCCCGATGTATTCACGACGCGTTGGGGAGGGGGGGGTCTGGGAGCCAAAGGACGGGGGGGGGGGCCGGCGGCCAGGCTGGCCGCCGACGCCGCGCGGCGGACGCCGTGCAGAGCCCGCCGAGGCCGCCGCGGGCCCCGGGCGGCCGCGCGGGCCCCGGGCGGCCGCGCGGGCCGAGGGCCCCCGCGCGGGGCGCCGGTGGCTCGGACGGTCGGCCGGGGGGGGGGGGCGCAGACGTGGGGGGTCGAGGCCTGCAGGCAAGTGCAGGATCGAGGCTCGAAGATCGGATTTGCGGTTCCCATCGTACATAAGGGCCACATCCCAAAACATAATTTCGAGCACAGGGACAACTATCGAAACAGTGTCGAACGATTGTCGCCTGCCAGGGCGCGACACGTGAGAACCTTCCAATTCCACGACTTTCTTGGTGCTCGACATGTGTTCTGGCGATCAAGGCTAAAATCGGTTGGAACATCATAACTGTAGAGGTAAAACATCAATTCCCATCAGAACCACTCCGAAAAGCGAAGCCGTTTAGCGAACGCACCCAAGGAAGGAATCGAACAGAGCAGGGCTGTGCGTAGTAATACACGCCCAGGGCCGTCCAGTAAACGCCAATTGTCAGGGTCTGGGTGGCGTTTCCTCCCTTGAGCCTGGGGCCCCACGGCCGCAGACTGCCCACCGAAGGCCAGGGCAGGCGCCCGAGGGGTTCACGCGTGTGGGGGGGTCGGCGGCGCGCCTGGTGGGGTGGAGGGGGGAGTGAGAAGGAGCAGGCCTCCTCAGAGTCCTCCTCGCCCAGTCCTCCTCCTTCTCTTCTCCTAATCCTCCTCCTTCTCCGCCTCCTCCTCCGCCTCCTTCTCCTCCTCCTCCTCCTTCTTCTCCTCCTCCTGCTCATCCTCTTCCTCCTCAGAGAAAGGCGGTCGCGGGACCTCTCAGAGGAGACCTCGCGCCCTCTGACAGGCTGCCAGCGCCCACGGGAAGGCCCAAGAGGCTGCTCAGAGGGCCGGCGGCCTTCCGAGCCCTCTGCAGAGGCCCGCCCTCTCGTGAGCAGGGACCGATCGTCCCGGCATTCCTATAGGCCTATTACGACATGTTCTCAGAACCCTTCCCCAAAAACACAATTACACCAGAGAAAACCCACAATCAGTAGATGGTTGTCGCTGAGGAGATCGACCGGGAACCCGGGAGCCCGGCAACCCAGACCCCAGAAATCGGCCCGGAACCAATAACCGGGAACCCGGGAACCCGGAACCGGGAACCCGGGAACCCAGCCTACTACCAAAATCGGCGGGAAACTTTCGCCAAATCTTTCAACTTCCGCGAGGTCCCCCAAATTCCCCCAAAACGGAAACAGCCATCTTTGAACAAGAACCCGATGTGTTTGAACAAGACGTTCTCGCAGCCAGAGCTGTCCCGAGAACATGTTTCGCGCAAAAGCAGCAAGCGGATCTCTGAGAACACTCCTCGGCGGGCCTCCAGGCCAGCCAGGACGCCTTGCTACTGCTTGACCCCCGCACTCCCCCCCCCCGTCCCGAGTTCTCAGACATGCGACGTCCTGATTTTTTAAGCTCCTCCTCTTCCTCCTCCCCCCTCCTCTCCTCCTCCTCCTCCTCCTCCTCCTCTTCCTCCTCCCTCCTCCTCCTCCTCCTCCCCTCCTCCTCCTCCATCCTCCTCCCCTCCTCCTCCTCCTCCTCCTCCTCCTCCTCCTCCTCCTCCTCGCCGCTTATTTTTTTGGGGGGGAACACGCGGCTGGCCGCGCGCGGCGGCCGCGTCGGCCCGACGCGCCGCGCGGCGGACGCGCTGGCCCCTCCGCGGCCCCGGCGCGGCGCGCAGGGCCTGCGAGGGGCCCGGGCGCCCCGCGTCGCGGCGAACCGCGCCGCCCGCACAGGGGGGGGGCGCGCTACTCCTCCTCCTCCTTCTCCTCCTCCTCCTCCTCCTCCTCCTCCTCCTCCTCCTCCTCCTCCTCCTCCTCATCATCATCATCATCATCAGGAGGAGGAGGAGGCGGAGGAGGGGGGGGGGGGGGCGGCCCATGGCAGGGCGGGCCGCGCGCTACCTGCCCGCGGCCTGCAGCGGGTCGCCGAGGAGCTTCCTCTGAGGGGGGGGGGTGGGACGACCACGACGACGACGACGACGACGACGTCGGCGACGACGGCGATGACGGCGACGACGGCGACGACGACGACGACGACGACGACGATGACGGCGACGACGACGACGACGACGACGACGACGACGACGACGACGACGACGACGACGACGACGACGGCGGCGGCGACGACGACGACGGTGACGGCGGGGCGGCGGCGAAAACGGCGACGATGGCGACGGTGGAGGTAAAGAACGACAGGGGCATGGATAACGAAGATGGGAGAGAAAACGAAGAGGAGGGGTAGCGGGAAGAGCGAGGACGAGGACGACCGGCAGCAGTCGCATGAGGTACAAGGAGTCCTGCGGGAACTGGGACCTGCACCCCATGGGGCGCCGCCGGATTGCCGAGCACCCAAATTTATAATTGGAGCTCCCAGAGAAAGTACGGAAGCTTCTGGTCGTCCCATGGTTCTCGATAGCGCGCCCAATCTCGCGCAGAGCGGACATATTGCATCTCCCTCGCATGGCGCTATTGGGCGCTACTGGTCGCTATTGGGCGCTGTTCGGCGCTACTGGGCGCTATTGAACGCTACTGGGCGTTATTGGAAAAGACAATTACGGTGTTGGGAGGAATGGGTTGGGAGGATACAGGGAATGAACAAGAGCGTTCGGATGCAATGAACGCTACCTTCGGTCACCTGCGTGTAGCGACGGGGAGACGTTTTGTCGCCGCAGCGCATGGCCCGCCAAGCCAACACCGCGCAAGCTTTCTAAGAAACGGATTACAACCTGCAACCAATTCCGTGGCCCTCTTGGGGCCATCCTGGACCCCCGGGAATTTCCCAACAGGCAGACTGCACCATGCAACCTACTTCGTGGCCTTCTTGGAGCCCTCTTGGAACTCTGTCGAGGCCGCCAGGGGGCAGTCCAAGAGCCCTTTTGTATGTGTTCAAGGCCCTCTCGGAGCCATCTTGGACCATCTCAGGTGTTAAAGCGACACAACGAAACCTGGGGATGGATCAAGGGCATGAGCAAAACCAGATGGTCCTGCAATTATCACATGAATAACGAACTCCGCATCGGGCTCTGCATTGCAATGCGTTCCTGCTACAGAATTCATTGTGAAATTACTCCTCGTGCTCATGCACGTTTTGGGAGGTCGGGGGGCAGCCGCGGGTTCGGTATTGCGTTCCCTTCCGGATGCGGCAGTTATAATGGATTCCGTATTGCCTCGAGTTCGTGATGCAGAACCGCTACTGCATTAGTCCACTTCTGTTCTTCGTGGGTTGCACCACGACTTCAACATAAGTCGTCGGCAACGGCAGTGCAAAATCGCTGCCGATTGGACCCCGTAGGTCGTGGGTGATGCTGGGCTTTATTTGCCCAGGCCGTAATGCGCAGCGCAGTTGGGTCTTCCAGGAGGAACTGCCTACGGACGAGGAGCGACATGTGAGTGCGAAAAGCGGGGACGTCTTTTCCAACGGGCGAGGTGGGATTAAGACCCAAGTAAGCTCAATAATAAATGCAAGCATAATCGGCAGGCAATCCAATCCCCGAAGAGTTTAGACGATGCGGCGGCCACTGGCAATGTGTAGGACTGCGTATATAATGATCGCCTTCATATGCAACATACGTGATGGTACTGATGATATGCTCCTTCCTCCCAACCCCAAGCTCCCATCCCTATAAATGCCTGTCTGGATTAATTGTCGGGCGCTATTCGCCGATATACGTGTAATCCGAGACGGGCGAAAACGTCCGTGGTTTACTGTATAACTTCCCAAAGCCCGTCGAAAACGTAAACCAAACAACGACGGATGGTGTGCTGCTAACTCCGGCCTCGGGGGGACCTCGCCGGGCCCCAGGCTTGTCACAAAATGGTAAAGTCGCTGCTGGGGGATGAGTCGAGACCTATGGGGTCCAGGTTGTGAACAAATCGCGGCGTCGGGGGACGCGGCCTAATCAACCAAGGCACTGGCGGGCCCGAGAACGCTTCTCCATCAGGTGTGTCGAAAAAACCCAGGCATAAGTCGAAATGTTCTCCACCAGGTAGAACGTGCAGAGCCCTGGTTAGCATTGTCCTCGTTTTGAGGGGGCCATGGGTTCCTCTGGGCGGCGCAAAGGTGGGCCCCCCATGGCAGGACGCGGGCGCCTCGAAACGCCCCGAGGGCCAGACCTTTTCAGGCGTGTTCGGGCACTGGCGTTCCCTGGCCACGCGGGGGCCCGCCAGAACAGAAAAACGCCTGTGATGGAAAGCTGCCCCCAGGGAGGGGGTCAAAATCCCAGAGGCCGTTTTTCTGTAGACCCAGGCAAGTTCAATTGCATGGGCATTTCGCCCCCACCCCCCCTCCCTTCCTCCGCCGCGTGTTCAACACAGCGCTGGGCCGAAAAGGCGAGCACGTCCATCCTGACTTGCCCGGAGTCCAGGCCTCCCTTCGGGCCTCGCCACGCCCCCCCCCCCCGGAATCCCCCCCGCTCCATGCAAAAAAATTGCCAGTATCTTACCAAAGAACTGCCTCCCGGGGTTAGGTCGGGCATGTCACCCTACAGGCGGATTGTGGACGACAAATCAAAAGAAGTGTCCAAACGTAATCCAGAATGTGCAGGCATGGTCCAAAAAATCGGCCCCAGACTACTGCTGACTACTTTTGACTATTCCTCGTGTGGAGGGACGTGCCCGACGCAATCCCGAGGGGGGGGACACCACGACGACCCCTCCCCAAAAAGGAGACATCGGAGACGGTGGGCGGCCTTCGAGGAGAGGCCTTCCGCCTCCCGGAGGGCGCGGGGGCGCGCGGCCTGCACGGGGCAGGGCCGCTATGAGACCCCAGCCCTTTGAAATATCTGTTTCTCGATGTGAGTCGGACAAAAAGCGGCACGACACACACATATATATATATATATATATACATATACATATACATATATACACACACGTAAATACTTGTATGTGTTTGTATAGTGCACATGTGTATGTACAGGTTGATGTGTGTGTGTTGGTTTCTGAAGGTGTATATGAATAGGTATATGTATATGTGTATGTATAGTCTATGATTCTACACATGCATATGTATAGGTTTATGTGTATGGATATGCATGTGTGTACGGCTATGCATGCGTTTAAGTGTATGTAAACGGGTATGCAAATGAGTATGTACATCCATACGTATATGTGTACGTATGTGTATATGTATATAGTAAATACACGTATCTGTACATGTGTACGCATGTGTGTCAGCATATGTATACGTGCATGCATCTGTGATCGTATATGTATATGTACACGTGAATGCTAACGTGTATGATGATGTGTATGCATATGCGTATGGGTGTGTGCATGCCTATGAATATGTTTGTTTGCCATAAGGCTTCACGCAGTCACGACGGACGCAGCTTTTCTTAAGTCTCGGCCCCTGAGGGGCCCTTTTGCCGGGCCCGGGGCAGTCCAAAACGACCCCGGATGAAAGAGCAGCCCCAGGGAGGAGGTCTGGACCTCCAGGGGTCCACGCTCAGAGAAAACCACTCGACGTCGGAGAGATTGATTTCGCCGCTAGGCCACCTTCCCTGGATGCCAGATTCTCCTGGTCGCGACCGACGAGATCGGTCGTTACCGATTTTGCATCCAATTCCAGTATGGGTCGCGATCGGCCGCGACGGCTTGGAGTGCTGATCGGTAGCCGCCGACAGCGACCCCGAAAACCTGTACCAGGTGATATGGGTTGTCTTGTCTCCGAAGGGTGCGGCTTGCAAAGGGGGCGGCTTGCAACCCGCGCCCGGGGGGGGCGGGCGAGGACCTTGGTAGAGTTCTCCGCCGCGCCCCGAGGAGGCCCGACGAAAGACAGCGTGGTGCCCCCCAAGCCCCCAGAACGCAGATCGCAAGCCGCACCCCGGCGTACAGCCACACATCCTCTGCAGTCGCCGACTTTGTCCCGCCGCCGCTCCTCATCTCCCGGTCGAACAGCTCGCAGCGCACGGGCATGTCCAGCTCGTAGAAGGGGTTCTTCAGCACGAAGTCGCTGTACAGCGCGTACGCCTGCCGCAGCAGGGGCTCGCAGTCCTGCAGCGGCGGCAGGGCCACGCAGAAGAACTTCATGCCCGTCAGGGTGGGGAAGCACTGCAGCCGGAACGTGCTGGCGTCCATGGAGGTGATCCCCCTCGGCTGCAGACCCACCACCGTGCCCTGTGCACTCTTGGGCGCGTGACCCAAGCCCCCTCGGGTCCTGAAAAACACACGCTGGCAGGTTTTTCATTACTTTCTGCCCTGGGGGCGCTAGCTGGGCACCGGGACAGTCAATAACGACTCAGGATGAGAAGCTTGTCGCAGGGGATGGGTCGAGACCTCGGGGTGGTCGACGTTCGGATAAGATCATGACGTCAGGGGTATCGGAAGGATGCTCCTTTGCTGTCATCTCAAGGACTTCCGAAGTACGGACCTCAAAGGCCTCCGAGGCCTTCTCAAGAGTCCCCAGGGAAGATTCAACCCGCGTCTTCATCTCGACCTCATCCCCACTGCGCTGCTGCGCTGGCGTGGTGGCGGAGTCGGCCGCAGGCGGCTGGATAGCTGAAGGCTCCCCCCGCGCGGTTCCGCACTGGCGACACCTGTGACGCGATGGCGCTGATGCCGTGGAACGTGGACGACAGCCTGATCTTGTCGTTGGAGGACAGCGTGGAGCCCGTGCTCTGGAGCTCCAGGTCGTAGATCAGAGAGCCGTTTCTGTTCAGGACGAAGAAAGACGCCACGCCCACCATTTCGGCGCCGGAGCGCGCGCGGCGGCTAGCGTCGGCTGCGCGAAGGAGTGGCTCTCTGGGCAAGGGCGGCCGTTGGTGCGCGGCTTTGAGGGGGCCGCGGGGAGGCTGGACACAGGCGCGCAAGCCAGTGCTGCGGGGACTTGCCCTGAAATCCGAGGTCACGAAGAAAACTATCGCACGAAATCACGACAAGAACCCTAGACCCCAGGTCCATGCTAATTTTTCGAATCGGATCGGTCCGTGCGGGTTCCGGGGTCCGAAATTAGGCGAAATCGCCTGGCGTGCAACGATTGCGGACATCAGGGACAGTCACTCCTGCGGAGGACCACTCTTTGAGTCCGTTGTTCTTTAGATTCTGGCGAGTTTACCTGCATGGAGGGAGGCGGGGGGGGGGCGGGGCGAGGCCCAAAAGGAAATCAGGACCCCGCGCAAATCGCCATAGACGTGCCCTCCTTGTCCGCCCAGCGCTGTTTCGAAAAGGCGGCGGAGGGAGGGGGGGGGAATGCCATGCTAATGACATTGCCGAAGCCTGCACAACGAAGACAACTCTGTTCGTTAATGTTTCACGACGCGAGGGGGTCTGGCTTCCGGGGCATAACCTTGGCCTCCGGCGGCCGATCGGAACGACCAGGGGGCGAACCCGGAAGGCGCTCGGCGAGGGGCAGCTGCCGGAGAGCATCTCGAGGCTGGAACACCACCGAGAACAAAGGAACACTTGGAGGCCTCGAGATGGTCGCCAGCACCACCACATGGGGTTGCCTCCACTGGGAGAAGATGATCCCAGATTTCGGTGCTGGTGGCAAGAAGTCGGCAACCTAGGAGCCCGAACATTACCACCATCGCCGAGATTGGGGTTGCATCCTCCCTCGGTGGAGGCACACCGCCAGTATTGGTGTTGGTGCCAGGCTCTAGGCCTCCGACACCGACCAAACACCTCGCGCCTCGAGCCCCTCCAACCTCGAACCTCGCCCCGTGGCTGCGCCTCAACAGAAAGCAGCGAAACTGCCTACATAAGCGTGACCTTTGTTGGTGCGCGGCTCTACGTGGGACAGGGGGTGGCCAAACCCGGGCACGCACGCCGCTGCTACCGTTCCGCGCGCGCTCAGCGATCGGGGGACCTCATTGGTGAGCAAGGACTGACCGTCCCGACGTTCCTGTAGGCCTACCACGACATGCGTCTTGATCCAGATCATGCTCTCATAAGAAAAACCACGCTCGTATAGCATAACTCCGACTGGTTAAACCAAGACGGCCTCGACCAGGAAGGTCACAAGAACATCACGCGCAAACCACAAAAAGGTTCTTAGAATATCCTTGGGTGGACTATTAGGCGAGCAAAGACGCCTCGCCACTGCTCGAATTGGGCCCGCACCAAAGGTCACTCCTGCGAAAGGTCTCTCTTACGTCTACTCGACTCTTGCGGGCAGCCCGGCTTTGCCAATGCCTCTCGAGCCTCGGGCCAGGGGTGCCGGGCCAGGGGCGGCGCCAGCAGGCCAGGAAGAAGCGCCGAAGATGCGTCGCCGTCGTCGTCGTCGCCGTCGCCGTCGTCAAGCGGTGGCTTCTCCTCGGCAAGAGCAAGGGCTGGGCTGGCCGCGGTGGAAGCCGCGGTCCCCCGTCGCCGGGCTGCAGGCAGGTCAGGGGGCAATCCCTGGGAGGCCTTCGCAAGAAGGAAGGAGTGAGCGACGATCAGGAAGGGGTCTGACGCGAGATGACATAACGACCTTACGCGGTGGCTTGCGCGGGCCGCCAGCGCGGCACGATACACTGGAAGGGCGCTTAGGCGCGACCTTACGCGGGCAGCTTACGCGCGAATGCCAGCGCAGACGACCCTGCTATGTTGCGTCGCTCAAATGGTCTCAGGCCCGACTCGGCCACACGCAAAGAGTGACCCGAGGTAAGAATGACCTTTGGTGCGCGACTTCGGGGGGCCACGGGGAGGCCGAACACGAGCGCACACACCGCTGCTATCGCATCACATTCAGCCATCTGGGGGCCCAAGCGTGCCCGTACAAGAGGTCACTCTGGCGAAGGGTCATTTCTACGTGTAGCCGACTTGTGAGCACCTGGGGGTCTGGGGCTGTCGCGGATCCTGCGGCGGGGTATCAGCCTGGAGTCTCGCCGGAGCAGCGCGCGCAGAATCTGACAATTGCAATTTTTTGTAGCCTGTTTTCCAAACGGAAAAAAAACAGCACATTAGGAATCCGATTGTTACAGCGTTTGTTTGAAGCGTTTTTGATGCATGAAAATCAAAGACCAGTCGTCGATCGCATCTGGATTCGATTGCGCGGGCTCGACGGGCGATCGAGAATGCAAAACGCTCCTTCAGAGCATAACCCCAGCGCCCCTAGCAGGCGCGCAGCGCATCACATCTTGGGGCGGCGGGGAAACGGCTTCAGTAGTCTCAGCGGGCCCTGTGCGTCCAGGATCATCATGTTCGAACGCGTTGAACTGTTAATGCGCCCCATGTGCAGTTCCAACATTGGACCCCTTGTCAGTGTGATGCACTAAGCCCCAGTGGTATGCAATCGGTGCCTGATGGCGCCCTCGGGCTTCTATTGAATCCCTCACCTGCCTTTAGACCCGTTCCGGTGCCTGTAGGACACCAGATCGTTTGCAAATGCCTCCTGTGGGTCCCACCTTCACTCGGCATTCTCGCCCAGTCGTTCCTCTGGCCCGTCGCTGGCTCCACGCGAAGCCTGGGGACTCATGTAAGCTCGCAGTGTCTCATTGTTTCCCAGGGGCTAATATGAATTATGTTTGCCTCCCCCGGGCTCCCATTGGAGCGGAGGTTCTTCTCGTTGCGTCCGCGGGCCCCGTGCATTCTCTGGAATGCGGTCGCGCACGATGTCACGCCCCGCTGCATTAGGCCCAAGCCTGGCCAAGGAGGTGCCCGAACCTTGGCCTGCCGCGGCCAACTCTTTGGCGGCCGCGGGGCTTGGCGCCCTGGAAGCGGTCGCCAACGCGCGCCCGATGCTGTGGCGCCGGAAAGTCCATTGTTCCACAATGCACACATCCACGTCGGGGCCCCCAGAATACACGTGAAACAAGTTGTTCTTTTCACCAGGAAAGTATTTCGAGATTAAGATGGCTACTATGCATACGTTTTTGCATTGTGCACGCGCGGGCGCGCGCACGCGTGCGCGAGCAACGAGGAACATGCAATGTGCTACAATGCACGATTTCACGTTTAGGCCTCCAGAATACAAATGAAACAATTAGTTTTCGCCATGGCGTTTCCGAGCTTAATATGGCTAGTTCGTAGAAGCGTTTGCATGATACACGCGCGCGAGCAACGAGGCAAGCACAGCTTGCCACAATGCATCATTCCACGTTGAGGCCCCCAGAATACGGGTGAAATAATTTGTTTCCACCATTCAGTTCTTGAAATTAAGATGGCGATTCTGAATCAGTTGCCCTATTGGTTTCGCATTGCGCGCGCCCGTGCGCGCGCGCAAGAGCAACGAGGAAAATGCATTGCACCGCATAGCAGCATTCGACGTTGAGGCCCCCAGAATACGAATGAAACGTTTCATTTGCAGCATTGAGCTTTCGAGATTAAAATCGCCATTCTGCAAGCGCGTTTGCACTGCGCGCTCGCACGCGCGTGCGCGGGCAACGAGGGAAATACATTGTGCCACAATGGGTTATTCCACGTTGAGGCTTCCAGAATACGAATGAAATAATTAGTTTCCACCGTTCAGTTGTCGAAATTAAGGTTGCTATTCGGTGCGAACTTTTGCCTTGATCACGCGCGCGCGTGGGCGCGCGCGATCAAACGAGAAACTACATCGTGACGCAAGGCATCATGTCACGTTGAGTCCCTCAGAGTGCGAATGATACAGTTGGCTTTTCACCAGTCATTCCCTACCTTGGCTCTGCCTAGAAGGGTTCTTACTGGGTGTGCTTAAAAGGCCGGGCAATGGGCCTCGCCCCGGGCGGTTCCCCCAGGATCCGCCCCCCGGTTCCCCCAGTAACGTCCCTTTAGCTTAGCGTTGCTTATCTCATCTTAGCTTAGCCTATTTCATCCTAGCTTGGCTTAGCTTCGTCTTAGCTCAGGCTTATCTCAGCCAGCTGACCTTCATTTTTGCTTCGCTGAGCTTCAGCATAGCAGAGCACAGCATAGCATAGCGTAGCATAGCATAGCGCAGCTGAGCATAGCATAGCATAGCATAGCTTAGCATATCACAGCGCCGCAAAGCATAGCATAGCGCAAATTAGCATATCATCGCATAGCGCAGCTTAGCATAGCATAGCACAGCGCAGCATAGCATAGCACATAATAGCGTATCATATAATAGCATGGCGCAGCATAACATAGCATAACAACGCATAGCACAACGCAGCGTAGCACGGCATATCATATCATATAATAGCATAGAAACGAATGCTGCTTTGATAGAGGCTCAAACTTCTAGGTGGGGTCGCACTGGGTTTTTTTCTGAACTTAGAATGCTATTACGCATGGGACATTTGCTTTGCGCACGCGCGCGCAACGAGGCGCGCAGAGTGGACCACTTTGCATGTTTCCACGTTTCCTGCCTCCAGAATGCGAGTGAACCGATTGGTTCTCCACCATTCAAATCTCCAAAGTAGGATGGCTATTCCGCACCGGTTGCCCTGATAGGTTTTTGTACTGCGCGCGCGAGCAACGAGGGCAGGTCATTGCGCCACAAATTCCTTTCTTCGCGCTGGGGACCCAGGATACAGGTGAAACTATTGGTTTTCGCCATTCAAGTTTTCTGAATTAAGATCGCTATTCGGCGCAGGTTGACGCGTTGCGCGCGTGCAGCGAGGGGCGCGCATTGCGCCGCAATGCATGATTGCGCGCTTTGGCCTGCAGCATACATGTGGAACAGCTTGCTACCACTATTCAATATTCGAAATTATGATGGCGATGTGGCTTCGGTTTTTGCGTCGCGCTCGCGCGGGCGCCAGCGCGCGCGCCCGCGCGAGCAAGGAATGAAGCGCATTGTGCCACATTACATTATTCCACGGTGAGCCCTCAAGAATATGAATAAAACGCTAGGTGTTTGCCGTTGAGTTTTCGAAGTTAAGATGGCGATTCGGCATCAGCTGTTGCATTGCACGCGCAAGAACGCGCGAGCATGAGCGCGCGCGAGCACTCAGGAACGTGTATTGTATCGCAATGCATCATTCCACGTCGGGGCCTCCTCGGGATGCGAGTCAGCTAGGTGAACCCCATGTAGTTATCGAGCTTAGAGTGGTCATGCTGCATCGGTTCTTCCGCTGTGCGCACGCAAGCGTGCGCGTGCAATGAGCAGCGCGTGTATCGCGCTGCATCCTGCTACGTTGGGACCATGCGAATACGGGTGAAACACTTGGTTTTCACAGTTCAATTCTCGCATCCAGCATGGCCGCTCGGCGCCGTTCGTTCTTGCGTGGCGCGGGCAGACGGGCAATGGGGAAGTCTCATTTGCGTCGCAATGTCGCATTCCACGTTTATGCCATCAGAATGAAAGAAACACTTGGCCGTTGGGGAAATTAACATTGCCATTCGGCAGTTCGTTCTGCGTCGCGCGCGCGGGACCTACGCGGTGCGCTGCGCACCTGTCTCGCGCGGGGCGCGAGCGAGTTTTTGGGCCCGCAGTCGGCGGGGGCCCGCGTCTCGGCGTCGGCCGAGCCATGTCTACAGATTGCAGCTCGCAGGCGCGCATTCGCGCAGGGAGCTATTGGGCGCGCGCGCTCTCAGCCGTGCGAAGCCGCATTCGGCGGGGCCGGCGGCGCGCGCGTGCCGCTATGAGCCTAGAGCCCAGAGCGGGCCCATTGCGCGCCCTGCTGCAATTCCCAACTCAACGGCCCGCCGCCCGCGCTTGCGTTCGGGGCAGACCTGCTCTGGATAGCGATATGTGCGACGTGGAGGCAGCGCGCCCGCCAGTGTCCTTGTTTGTCCGTGATCGAGAAGGCGCGATCTTGCGCTGGTCGCCCTTGGAGCCGTCAGCGCGTGCCACGTTGCTTTCCGACTCGGGCCCGCATTCGCCGCGGCCGCGGCGGGCAATGCATTGGGGCTGGGCGGTGGGGAGGCGGGGGGGGGGGCGCAAATGGCGCTTCTCCCATTGTCCGAGATGGCAGAATGGCCGAGGCTCCGGGGTGCTTGGCAGATCGCGCGCTGCCCGAGCTCTGACCGAGCCGGGAGGGTGGTCGAGGTGCGGGGGGGGGGGGGGGGGGCAGACCGCGCATTGCCCCAGGTCTGATCCGGGAGGATGGCCGAGGTGCGGGGGTAGGCCGGCAGACCGCGCACTGCCCCAGGTCCATCCGAGCCGGGAGGATGCCCGACGTGCGGAGGGGGGGCGGCAGACCGCACGTCACCCCAGGTCCATCCGAGCCGGGAAGATGTCCGAGGCGCGGGCGGGGGGGCCGCCAGACCGCGCATCGCCCCAAGCCACTCGCTCGCAACACTTTCTGAATCGTCGGCCAGGAGGATGGCCGAGGTGCGTGGGGGTCGGCAGACCGCGCATTACCCCAGGTCCATCCGAGCCGGGATGATGCCCGAGGTGCCAGGGGCGTAGTACAATGGGGTGCCCACAGTGGGTGGAGGGCTGCACATTGGGTGGCCACCTCTGGTGGGTCACTGCAGTCTGGGCGCGCAAGCTGCGGGGGGGTGGCTGGAGTGCGGGGTGCCATCGTGGTGGGCGGTGTCCGCGGTGGGTGGCGTGTCTGGAAGGGGCCTCGCAGGGTGATGCGCCTGCCTCGAGATGCTCTGCTGCGTGGGGCGCGCGCCCTTTGGCTCGCGCGTCGAACGGGTCGCCCGACGCGGGAGGGGTCGCGCAGAGCAAGGCGCCCGCCTCGGCGACGAGCTCGACGGCGAGATGCATGCCGCGGGGGGCGCCTGCAGGGTGGAGTGCCCTCCCTGGTGGAGATCTCTCGGGCGGGGCGCGACCGCCGCACGGGCCCGGACTTTGCGGCGTCGGGCGACCGCCGCGACGGGCTGCGTGCAGGGCCTGGGGGGTGGGGGGGCGTTTTGGGGCGCCGGTGGCTCCCTCGGAGATCAGCGGCGACGTTTGCGGGGGCGCTTCTGGGGGCCCGTGGGGCCAGGCCGCCGCCGCTCGCTGGAAAAATTTTGCTTGGCGAAGGGCCTAGCCATTCGCAGATGTGACTGCCGCAATTGTGGATATCGTCTTCGGTGGCGCTCCCTATGGGGCCGCGAAACGCGTGGGGGGCGCGCCGACATGGGTGGCGGGGACTCATGGGAACGATGCCTTAGGTGGAGCTCCCGAGCTCAGCGTCTTAGGATGAGGAGCTCCCTATGGGGCCACTCCCGCTCAGCGTCTTCCGATGCAGGATGAGCCTGAGCGGCCGCGCGCGCGCCGGTTCTGCGCCACACGCGCGGCGCCCTTCCAGTAGATTGGGACACGGCTGGTGCGAGGCGCGGCGGTGTCCCCTTTCGCGCGCCGCGCCGAGTGGCGCCGGGGCCGCCGCGGGGGCGGCCGCCCTGCCCCCCGTCGCGCACTCTGCGATTCAATGCAGAATGGGCCAAGGTCGCCGCGCGAGCGGCGGCCCCGCCCCCGCGCGCGATTCGTTCTTCGGACGGAGCCTGGGCCAGGGCGGCACTGCGCGCGGTGGCCCTGCCCCGCGCCCCGCGGCTCTCCAGAGGGGCCAGGCCAAGGTTGCCGCGCGCGCGCGCGGCGGCCCTCGCCGCCCCTTCCCCCCCGCGCACGGCATTGCATATGCAGAGTCGGTCAAGGCCGCCGCGCGCGCAGCGGCCCTGTCCCCCCCCCCCCCCCCTGGGAACGCTCGTCAGTTCATATGTGACCAGGGCCGTCGCGCGCAGCAGAGACCCCCGCGCTTCGCGCAATGGCAGCCGCGGGCGCAGTAGCTGCTGTCGTCGCGCGCTGATTTTTCGCGGTCAGAATGGCGAAGGGGCCGCCTCGCGCGTGGCCATGCGCGCGCGGAATTTTCCTTTTCAAAATGGCCGAGGGGTCGCCGCGCGCTCGGCGGCCCCGCGGCTTCGCGCATGGCGTTTGCGCTGTTAGTGTTCAACATGATATGATGCTGCAGCTGTCGCCGCGCGCTGAGTTCCTGCCCCCTCGCGCATGCCGCTGCTCACTTGCAGGGCGCCCCCGGTTCCGAGCTGCGCCCTGCCCCCATCGCGCGCTGTGGCCCCGCCCCTTGGGGCCAGTTTGTTCGCGCGGAGAGGGCCGGGGCCGCCGCGCGCGCTGCCCCGCGCTGGGCGCGCCAGGGCCGACGGGCGCGGCCGCCGCGCCTGCACGGACATGACACCCCTGCGACCGTGCCCATGCAGAGCTGGCCCGTTGACTCGGGCGCTGTGTTCTCCTCGGCCGAAGTGGCCAGGGTCGCTGCACGCGTTGTGGCCTTGCGCCCGCGCGCGCGGCGTTCTTTTCAAGCTGATTGGGCCGGGGCCGACGCGCGCGCGGCAGATCTGCGCCCCCGCGGACGTAGCTGTCCATTCAAGATTGGCCACGGGCGCCGCGCGAACGCGATGTTTTTCAACGCAGCACGGGCCAGACCCGCCGCGCGAGCGGCGGCCCCGCCCCGCCCCTGCCCGCATTGGATTGCATTGCCGTGCAGAACTGGCAAGAGCCACCGCGCGCGCGGCGGCGCAGCTTTCTGACGCGCCGCCGTGCTTTTGAACCCAGAACTGGCTGGGGCTGTCGCGCGGGCGGCGGCTGTGCCCGTTCGCGCGCTCGGGTGTTCCATTCGGGAAGGAGCAGGTCCGCCGGCCCCGCGGCGATCTTCTCCGCCCCCTCGCGCATAGCGCTGGCCTGTTCAGAATGGGCCAGGGCCGCCGCGCGAGCGGCCGCCTTGCCCCCTCTTCTCTTCCCCCCCGCCCTGCCCCATTGCGAGCGGCGGCGACGCTCCTGCGCGCGCGGTGTCCTGTCGCGCGCGATTGGCCATGGGCGCCGCGCGCGCGGCGGCCGCGCCCCCCTCGCCCCCCCCTCTGCCGCGTGGTTCCTCCATGCATTCAAAATCAGCAGGGGGCGGGGAGCGCGGCAGCCTGCCCATCGCGCGCTGCGTTTCAGCCCGCAGAATTGAGCAAGGCCGCTGTGGGCGCGGCGGCGGAGTCACCGCGCGCGCGGCGTGCTCTCCTTCAGAAGTGGCCAGCGCCGTCGCGCGCCGCGGCCCTGCCACTGCGCGCGTTTTGCTCCGCTCGCAGACCGGGCCAGCGGCGCCGCGCGCTCGCTGGCCGCCGCCGCGGCGACACCGCCCCCCGCCCCCGCGCATTGGGCGCGTCGGCCCCGCCCCCCGCGCATTGGGCGCGTCGGCCCCGCCCCTTCGCTATCTGGTTTGCTTTGGTCGGAGTTGGCCAGGGCGCCGCGCAAGCGGCTTCCCTGGCCCCCCGCGCGCTTTGCAGCATCCAGCTCGCATGGGCAAGGGCCGCCATGGCGGCGGCCCAAGCCCCTCGCGCGCGGCGTCGTTCCCTCCGCGATTCGCTTGAGCGGCCCCGCGCGCGGCGTCCCCGGCGGCATTCCCGGCCCGCCGCGCGCCGTTTCCGGTCGCGCAGAATTGGGCAGCCCCCCCCCCCCCCCCCCCGCCCCACCCCGCGCAAATGCGACATTCCCAGCGCATTTTATTTCGACGCGCCGAATCGGCCAAGGCCGTCGCGCGCGCGGCGCTCCGCCCCCATCGCGCATTGGTTCTCCCCCCCGCGCGGGCTCGGCCAGTGCCGCAGCGCGCGCGGCGGCCCGCCATGCAGGTCCTGTATCCGTTGCGCATGCGGCCCAGGGCCATTGCGGCGGCCAGCGAGCCCGCTTCGCAAGCGCGGGGCAAGGGGCCCGGGCGCCGCCGCTCGCATCCCGCCCCTCCCGCGCCCCGTCTCTGGACGCTGGTGCGTGCGCTCTCGCTTCCTTGCAGCATATTTGTTTTGCTATCCAGGGCCTCTCATCGCATTTTTAGGCGGGATCTGCATATTTCCCATTGGCTCTCCCGCGGAGCCCCTGCCTGCTCTCTTTCGCCAACCGAATGTTCCTGATTTCGATTTCGTTGGCCCCGCCCCGGATCAGTATATTTCCTGCGTGGGCGTGGCGCAGAATCCCCATCCTATCTATCAGCGCCCGCTGCAAAACTTCTCATTGCCTCGCCGATCGGGCCAGTGCACTGCGACGCGGGAAGCGCCGTCAGAGCAGCTCCTGGCGTCGCGGCGAAGTGCCTTCAGACCGCCTCGCGCGGACAGCAGTGCCCCCTTGCTCGCGGGAAAGATGCAGACCCCCCCGGGACTCACTATAGCCGACCGATTCAAGGGAAGCCTGAGTGATCCTGGGACTGAGCAGTTTAAGCGGGATAAGTTCAACACGGTCTTCGACCAAGGTACTACCAGCGCCGATGCTGATTTGAACCTCCCTGGAGTTGCAACCAAGGTGAGGTGTGCGCCGCGAGGGCGCGGGGTAAAGATTGCGGCGGGTTCATTGGGTCGCAAATGTTGAGAAACGTGCGTCGGAACTGGGAACCACAAGCGCATGGGGCGCACGGGTGTCCTTGCGAGCCCGCGTCAACGCCCGAGGATGCCGAGCGGCGAAGGCTGAGAAACGTAAGTGTGCCAGGGCCCCCCTCCAAAAAAATCGCGCATCCCTTGCGCACCCCCTCCGTCTAACATCCGACACATCGCCGTGCTGCGCCCTTCTGGCAAGGCCACGATCTTGGGCCCCAGGATTGCCCTGCCCAGGACTGGCGCAGGTGCCCGGCGCCCCGCGGCCGAAAGAGAAGGACAGGGAAAGCGGAGGAGGGAGAGAAGGGAATACGTAAATGGGGGAGGAGGGATGAAAAACAGCTTGTTGAGGTCGGGGTGGGGAGGAGAAGACGCCGATGAGGAAGGAGGGGGGGGGGGGGGAGGACATGGTCGCACGGCCCTGGCGAGTCGAGGGCGCCGACACTGAGAACTTGCGTTCCCACTGAAGGCACCAGCGCGTCAAGCCGGGGCGAGGACTGAACCGCGCAGGGACGCACGCGGGCGGGCTGCCCGTCGCGCTTCTCGCCTGAGCTCGACACCGGCTTCGAGGGGCCAACCCCGCTTCTCTCGCAGCCGCCCGATCGTTACCCTGCCCTCTGCCCTCGCGGCCGTGAGCTCCCCAGCCAGCTCGGCGTTGCTGCCCCCCTCGCCAGCGACCTCATCTGCCGCGGCAATCCAGGCGCCAGCCGCGGTAACCTCGGCCAGGAACTGCTCGAGGTCCCCACAATACCGCGGATCCATGGGTTCGTTCGCAAGCTGGAAGCGGGCATCGGCGGAAATGCGCACCCGGTTGGTGGTGTTTGTGGTGCTCATGTGCATCGTGTGCATCGTGAAGGTCAGCAGGTCGCCCGCCTTTAAGTCTGCTCTCTTCCACTGCCCGCCGAAGAACTTGAGCACCTCGCCAGGATCCTCAGTGACCCAACCAGAGTCGTCAAGCCTCTCGCGAAGCTTCTCGAACCCCGCGAGGGTGTGACTGCGTTCGCAAACCGCCAGCGAGCCCATCTCCACAGGGCTGTTTCCGAAAGGCACCCAGCAGGTTAGGAGGTTGGGAGGGTCACTGCCCAGGTAAACATTGTCAATGTGCGCGCCCGTGAAGGAGCTGCGCGGCATCGGTAGAACAACAAGAAGCTGTTGAGACACCAACTTTCGGAGGGCTTCGCACATCTCTCGGGTCGGCGCTGGAACCTGCCCCCCCCTCCCTTCCCTGGCGCATTGAGCGCGCCGAGGGCGGCGCCCGAGACGCCTCAGGGTGAGGGGATGAGGGTTCAGCGCCGACCAAAGAAACCCGCGCGAACCTCCGGATTTTCGTGCGTTTGCCCATCCTTGTTGCACGGATCGCGCGCAGCCACTTGAAGTCGAAGCTCCTCGTGGCAGAGCCCAGCACGCCGGCGAAGATCTCCTTGATGCGTTCCCCATCGAAGACCTTCACTATTCCGCTCGCAAATCTACGACGCGCCCGCCGACTAAATTGCTATCCTCCGTGCAAGAGGCTAGAAAGCGATAACAAAGCGGCAGGCCGAAAAGGCCGACCCTACAACACTACAAATGCGACGCTCGACGCTCGACATCCCCCGCGAGAACACCCGTGCGCTCCCCCATCGAAGACCTGCAGCAGTGGCGCCGAGTGCGTCATCTCGCTGCGGCCCTCCATGAAGGGCACGCAGCCGAGGCAGCAGCGCTCCTGCAGCACGCCCTCTCCCACCAGCCTGCTGGAGTCCAGGCTGCCGCCACTCTCCGCGAACGTGCTCAGCACGCGGCTCTGGGCCGCGTCGACCTGCGAGGCTGGAAGCGCCCCCTGGAGGAACAGGTAGCCGACGCGCCGCAGCGCCGCCCGGAGCCCTGCCCAGTCCGAAGCGGCGAGCAGCGAGGACGAGTCTGTCAGCGGCGTCAGCATCGCACGGGTGCCCGCCGGCCCAAACTCGGTCACGCAGTGCCTGCCGAATTGGACGCTGCGCGTCACCATGACAGAATGCAGGGGCGGCGCCAACTTGCACAAGTTGCGACAGTATCGGGCTGCAGGCCCCTGCGCGGCACCTTCACGATTCGTCCATGATTTTCCGATGCAGGAGCCTGGGCTGGCCAACCGGTGAGCACCCAAGCTTGCTCTCAGGAGCAGGGGCGCGCTGATGCAGCTTCGCGCAGTTGAAGGGGCGGGAGCAAGACGCAGGCCAGGGTGCGCTAGGGGGTAGGGGGGAAGTGAGCGAGGAAAGCGTAGGGATGAAGACCAGCCACAACAAAAGGAGCTGCTTTCCTTATCCAACTGGGGTACCCGGCCGCATCGAGAAAAGTGGTGTCGAATCTGGTGGCCCCAATTGCGTCTGTCTCGTTGGCAGAGGGGGAGGCGGACGGGAAGGGCGGGAGGGAAGGAGGGGCGGGGGAGAAGAGGAGAGGAGGAAAGGAAAAAAAGACAGAGGGGACGAAATACCCTAGGGGGAGGGGGCTATGGGAGACGGGGGCGGCGGGGTCAGAACGCTGTGGCGACCCGGTCAAACAACAATATCAGAACGTCCACCCCGGAGGAAGTGCAGCGTGCCTCGAGGGGGGAATTCGCGGCGATGCTTGCGCTGAAACCACAAGAACTCACATGGCCCCCCACCAAAACATCTGCGTGGCGATTATCACGACGCCGGCCACGGAGGCAATCTCGGAGGAGACGGAGGAGAACGAGGATAAGGGGACATGGTGTTGATGATGACAATGGTGATGACGGTTCCGATGGTGCTGGTGTTGGCGATGAAGATAATGAAGAAGAGCAGCACCAAGAGTCGGACCTGCGAACTCGAAAAACGTGCAGCCCGACTTGGAAGGAAAACGAAAGGGTCAGAACAGATGGGGGTAGGAGAGCAGGCCGGGGCGCAGGAGCAGGTGACCTCCTGCGGCGGGATCTCCTCGCCTGCGACAACGGTCTCACTGGTTCACCAGATGGCCACGTCGTAGTACCTGCTTTCGAAGCCTCACGGCGCTCGTTTGTTCACACGATTGAGAGTTGGCTCCTCGTCATCCCGTCAGGACATGCCGCCACCAATATGTCCAGCGGGCCACATCCTCGTGGCGCAGCATGTCACAGACAACAACACATTTGGCACCACAGCTGTCCGTTCATTTGCGCGCACGTGTGGCTCGGCTCGATGCTCTGGCCACGGGTCTTGATGGACGCTGCAGCGATGGAGATAGCCTCAGAGGAGCGTTGTGCTCTTGCTTGCGCGATCAAGCCGCACTGTGCGCGTCGCTGAGCCAAGTAGGCGATTGCACTTGGACCAGTACCAGATGCACAAGTCGTGGCCACGTAGCGTCATGCTGCGTCTACCTTGCAACTCCAGCAGGACCTTCTTACTGACGTCAAGCGGTTTGAATTTGACCTGGTACTTCACTCACCGGCAGGAAGCGAACTGGCTGATGATTGCTGCTGCGCGCATGTGAATCTTGGCTGGTAAGGTACCCGGCTCGTTGGGCTCATTGGCCTACGGATGGATGAGGCTCAGAACTTTGTCCACGCCTGCTCTTGCCAACGCGCCTGCTACCGAATTGCCATCTAAAGCGCCGGGGTCCTAAACTATATTTCCGAAAGGAGACTCGTCCTAGTGGGAAACGCATTTGCCAAAGTCCACAAAGCTTCTCCTGAAAAGGTCTCGGTGTCAATGATTCGGCCACCGCCTTCCGCCACGATTTGCTGATGCTTGCGGGGCACTGGTCAAAATGCAAAATCCGTCCATCCAAGACCGTATTCGCGCCCATCCAAATGATGATCAAACCTTCCGGGACGCCAAACGGAAGGCCAAAGCCGCGATCTCTGAGCTGGCGACTGCCTGCGGCCCAGAAGTCATGCGACAGAACATGACTAATCCAGCTGGGGTGTCGTCTGCCAGAGGACGGCCCCACCCAGCCCTAGCGGTCCTCATGTCAATCGAATTTGCGGAACCGTCCAGGAATGCGGCACCAACCGTGGACCCTTGACCTTCTGCATGCCCGGGGCGGCAAACAACATGCAGGCCGCCCCCCATGTCACGGGGCCCCGTACTTGACAGAGCTGAGCTGGAGCGATGCCACGAAGCCAGAGAGGACTGGGCGAGGGGCTCTCCTGCATTATGCCTACACCTCTGGCAAGTATCTATGCCGTAGCCTCCACCCAAAGATGTGATGTCGTCGTTGCAGTTGCAGCCGCAGTTCTGGCTTATGGTGTCTCCTACTGCCTCTTCGCATCGTGTACATGTCGACACGGTGTCCGACTCAGCCGCGTCAGGCCGAGCTCGGCCCCACAACCCTCTAGTGACATAAATTTCCAGAGTTTCAGCTCCCTTGCGAAACCTTTTCCTTCTTATTGTAGCTGCAGAGGCTCTGCCACGATACATGTCAAATTCGTCGTCATGTGTGGAGGCCTATTCGTCTCCAAGATGGTCAACCCGTTTCGCGGGGCGCCTACCTCGCCATCCAATATCTGCAAGTCCCGTGATGGGCGCATCCATCGGGCAAGTCACCGCCCTCCGCCTTGTGTTCTCTCTGTCTTGCCCGAAACTGTGTTGTAGATGTGGCTCAAACCTTAACGAAACCGGTCTCTGAGAGCTCCTTGCCTGCGCCACAATCTTTTTCACTCCGTCACAAAAGGAACTGGGTCCTCACCAGGGGGAGCGCAAGAACATACGTTGCGTTGCCGTGTCCTCTCTTGGTGGATCATGTCACGCTTGCCGCTTAATTCCTCGACCAGGTAGCCACGAAGGTGGGGAGCCCCAAAGCAGGGATGTCGTACGCTGATTTCGCCCGTACACTGGAAAGGAACAACTAAGCCGTAATTACGCTTCCTTGCTGTGCCTAGGTGGACAAAGAACCTTCGCCGCCCTTGTGTGTCCTTGCAGTCCCTTTGCGCCCTCCTAGGCTCTTCCTTGCGTCGAACTGTCGCAGTACTTATCAACCGTTGCCTGCCTCGCGTAGCGTCCAGGCCCAGATCACGCACATGAAACTACTTTTTGGTGGAAATGCTTGAATAAGTACTCAGCTTGTCTTGGACCGTTTGGTAGATCACTGGCGGTGCAAGCCCAATGAACTTGTCAGACATGCTAAATCCCGCGACGAGGCACCCTCTTTGATGAACGGGGCCGCAGGTATTTGATACTGGACCAACGCCATGATTACTTCCAGTCTTTGTGCAAGGTCGTCCACGTACTCCCTGACACAGGTGCCGACGCGTTTCTCGTGCAGGGCCTCGAGGGTTTGGTAGAGCATTCGCGTGCTGAGCGAGTGGCCGCAATTATCTAATTGTGTGGGCAACTCGGCTTGTCACAATCGACCTCATGGGGCGCTCAGGACACTTGGTGCCAAGTACGAATTAAGGCCCATGAAGAGATCCACTGCTGGGTACTGCATGTCCAGGGTTCGGTAGACCAGCCGTGTGAAGCAATCGCAGTCATAGGAGTCATAGGACTTCCCCATGTCCAGAAAGAGCTCCGCAACACTGATGCCCCTTCACATAGAAGGGTGCTTCGTCCAGGGCCAGGGTGGACAGCGCTGCTTGAAGGGCCGATGAACCCTTGATGGAGGAACAAGAGGATGCGGAGCAGCAGGAGGAGGAGGAGGAAGAGCAGCAGCAGCAGCAGCAGGAGCAGGAGCAGGAGTTGAAGGAGCAGCACAGGGTCGCGAACCAGCTGGGCAGCGTCTGACGTTGACACTCTGCCCTCGCGTGGAAAACGCAGGAGGAGAGGGCCAACGATGAGGAGGGACTGGCTCCGGGGGGAAAGGATGACTTGGAGCCGACGATGCATCACCGACCGATCGGCGAGGGGCTCCCGACAACGAAACCGCACGTTCCTGGGCGAGGCGGCGGGCCCAGGCCCCCGGTGGCCACGGGTGGGAATCGGCCGGAACAGGAGGAGAAGACACGAGGAGAGGAGCAGGGTCGCGGCCGACGCGGCCCGGCCCGCGCAGTGCTTCCCTTCTCGCTGGCTGGGACGCGCGGGCGATTGGGGGAGTCGTTGCGCCCCCCTCGGCCAGGGCCCCCCCCCCCGCCCCGCGAATAGAATGAGAGCGAAGAGGAGGAGGGACTCCTCCTCCTCCTCCCCCTCCTCCTCCTTCTCCTCCTCCTCCTCCTCCTCCTCCTCCTTCTCCTTCTCCTTCCCCTCCTCCTGCTCGCTCACGGCGCCCCGGCCCACGCGGTGCTTCTTCTTTCTCGCCAGGACGCGCAGGCGGTGCTCTTAGGCGGCCGCCACGGAGTCCCGACTAGCCACGGGGCCGTGGCGCTAACCGGCGCCTAGTGCCGCTGCGAGTATATGTGTGGGGCACTGGGCGCGGGATGGATCTCGCCCGAATGTCCGCCGCCGCGAGAAAGACGACGCCGTCAATTGGTCACGACCGGCGCGATGCAGACCCCAACTCGCGCCGCGGGCGTCCGTCCCGCTTCGAGAAAGTGCGCCCAAATGTGGTGACGTGTTTTGGGGGGCCAACTTTGGCGTCTGCTGGTCGCCGACCTTCCGCCAGTGTCCGCCGGCGGAGCCGCCCCCGCTCTGCTTCCTCGCCGGCCACCGCTGGACCTCCCCGTCACCTTCCGCCGAAGAAGACACGGTCACGAACCTTTGCTCAGCGTGTGGCGGCGGCGGTCCTTGCGACACGCCAGGCCGTACAGGCGGATAGCGTGTCGCTCCGACCCGCGGGGGGGGGAGGCTGCGAAAGGCTCGGGACGTTGACGCCCCGCGTGGCGTGCCGCGCCAAGGCGGTGGGTCGGAACCGGCGGCGCGACACGCCGAGCCAACGGTCTCGACCTCGAGAGGCCACGCCATCGGCGCCTGGAGGGCGAGGAAAGCGGCCCCGCCTGGGGCGCAACCTCCTCCCGCGCCGGGGGGCGAGCCGTGGGGGCCTTTGGGGCCAGAAGCGCAGCATCACACGGCGCAGCCCGACCATCATACCTCTTTCGCGGCGCCGGGATGGCGAGACCCTGCAGCCGCAGGCGCGCCCGAGTGTCGAATTACTTGGGGCCTGGCGTCAGCAGAGCAGGAGCAGGGGATGCCGTGCGAAGGGCGCTGGATGGCGAGGGCTGCTCCAAGAAAGCGGCCGCTGGAGGAGGGGTCACCTTCCTCCTCCTCCTCCTCCTCCTCCTCCTCCTCCTCCTCCTCCTGCTCCTCCTCATCCTTCGTGCTCCACCGCGTCCTCGTCGCCCTTCGTCTATCCTCTTCCTTCCTCCTTCCTGCTCCACCGCACCCTCGTCGCCCTCGCCCTCCTGCCCTCCTCCAGCCACCCCGGGTCCCTGTCCAGATGCTCCGCCCGCCGCCGCTCAGCGCCACCGCCGCAGGAGCGGCGGGCAGACCGCGAGGCAGCCAGTCAGACAGCCGGTCTGCGGAGGCCTGGCGGCCGCTGCGGGAGCCTGGCCGGGGGAGGCAGGCGTCGTCGTCCTCGCCGCCACCGTCAGGGTCGCCGTTGTCGTCGACATCCCCTGAGATCCTGGTGTTGCACTGTTGGTCGCAACCGGCGTTTGCGCCCAGTCTAGGCCCCCGGGACCCTCACGGATCGATCCAGCTCGAAACATGACGCAGAAAGATCGGGTCTAGGGCTCCGGGCGTGATTTGTCACGATGTTGCATTTTTTTCTGCAACATCTGATCTCAAGGACCGTCAGGGTCGCCGTTGTCGTCGACATCCTCATGTTCGATGAAGACAGTGAGGGGGGCGAGATGGGCAGCGAGATGCTGCTTCGTTTGGGCGCCTCCGCGCAAGGAGCGCCCTCGCGCAGACCCCAAACGGCCTTCCTTTCTCACCTCCACTCTCGCCGTCGAACTGGTCTAGTGAGTCTCGCGCTTCCTGTTTATCCACGCCCATCGTCACACTTACCCTAACTGCCCTCGCTCTCCCTGAGTCTCCATCCCCGCCCACACAGTCATCACTCACACTCATTCGTCCTCGCTTGCGCTCCCAATCCTCACCCGCACACTTATCGGTACATGTAATAAGTAGACATCCGGATACCTATGAAAGTTCCCACAGCGGCTACTCGCAGCAGAGGAACAACACAACAGTCTCATGACGCGGATGCCACAGAAAGGGCTCCGAACCTGAGCGGTTATTCCCCCACCGATTTGAGGGGCAGCGCGAGAGGGGACCAGCTCAGGATGGAACACATCGACCTGGAATCGGCTGAGCATCGGCGACAGATCGGCGATAGGCCTACGACAGCGAAACCGCATGGTCCTGGGCGGGGTGGGCCATCGGGCCCCTGTCGGCGACGAATGGGCGATTGGGGGTCGATTCGTCGCCCTGGGAGCCTATCCCTCCTTATCGTGGTCTGGTCTCGGCTTTTGGGTTAATATCTCGGGGGCGGCCGAGAAGGGGGCGTCCAAGAGGGGCCGGCGGCAGCACGTGCGCGGCCCAGGGGGAGGGGGGGGGGGCGGGGCCAGGGACGCATACTGAACGAAAAGAAGCGCCATGAAGTCTGAGGAAATACCATGGCCCACGCCATGATAGCCTCCCCCCTCCTCTATAGTCCTCCCCCCCTCTGCGTCGCCCCCTGACCTCTCGGCTCTCCGGCAGCGGCTCGGGCCGAGACGGGCAACCCCCCGCCCCGCCGAAACGCCCTCGGCGAGGCGCAGGCGCTATGGCAGGCACGCAGCGGCTCGGAAGTCGACGCGCAGAAGCCGCCGGGCACGGCCGAGGACCGCAGGGCGTGCTCATCGCAGGGCTTCGGGCGCGCGCTCTCCCGCGAGCCTGTCCGAAATCATCCCGTAGCACGAGGATGCGCGGTGAGGATGCAGGGGCCCCTGAAGGCCACGTCGAGGCCCTGCGAGCGGGGCGAAGCCGGCGAAAGTGGCCAAGGACGAGCCGAGGATTGCCCAGCCTCAGCATGCGGGTTGACTGTGCCCCCCCCTCGCGTTGCCCCCCATCCGATCCGACTGCTGCGCGCCTCAGGGGCGCACTGACACCCGGGCCAGTGCATGCTCTGCAGGATCCTGTAAGATCCTGCAGCCCTGAGATCCGACGTTGCAAAAAAACATGCACCATCGTTAAAAAAAAAAAATCACACCCAGAGCCCTAGCGAACCCCATCTCTCTGCGTATTTTTTCGAGCCGCATCGATCTGTGAGGGTCCCGGGGCCCGAGATTGGGCGAAAACGCCGGTTGCGACAACGTTGCAACGCCAGGCACCCAAACCCGGGCCAGTGCGACCCTGGCCCTGCAGGATCCTGCAAGATCCGGCGCTCTGGCTGAGGAGGAGGTATCCTCGCCCGACGCCGCGACGCGAGGAGACGCCGCTGAGCGCCCGGCCACGGGCCCGTCAGACGAAGGCGTCCCCCTCCTACTCCCGCAGGTAGCCGGGCATCCAAGCCCTCCGGCGGCCAGCCGAGCGTGCGAACGCGCGCACCCGCAAAAGTCAACGGCAATCACTTCGTGATCCGCACCGTGCGGCGACAAGGTGCCGGTCATGAGCCTGGCAGTCTGCGGAGCTGCTCGCTGGACCCTCCCGCGCCGTGCAGGAAGAACGCCCAGCCGCGCCACTCTCCCCGCCTGCCGTAGTACTCGTCCGGCCTGCTCGGGATGTAGGCGTTGCGCTTCTCCCCGGCGCGTATCCACTGCTCCCACTCCTCCTGGCTGTCCCACTGCCCCATGGCCTGCTCACACGCAAGAGAGACCGTAGGCAAGAGTGACCTTTGGTGCGCGGAGTACTGGGGCGCAAACTGGCCAAATCCAAGCGCGCAAGCAGCCGCTATCGCATCGCGCTCAGAGATCGGACGGGTCCCGATGAGCTCGCATCAAGGGTCACTCCGGCGCAGGGTCCCTCTTATGTGTAGTCGACCTGCACCCACCTGGCGCACTCCTCGAACGGCAGGAAGCGTGGCTTCCGGCGCAGTACCTCCCGGCGGTACTGCTCCGCGAGCTCGGCGCGATGGAGCACCAAGTAGTCGCTCTCATCCAGCAGGCTGGGCGCGTCGGCGTCTGCGCAGGCCTCACCTAGAAGAAGAAAATGCACCACAAACATAAACTTTCTGGAGCTCCGCGCGGATTTCTTGGATCTCCGCTGGACCCCCCTCCCTGGCGCGCGGAGCGCGACAGGGGCGAAACCGGAGGCGCCGCCGGGGGGAGCACAGTTCGGATTCAAGACGTCCGCGCGGAGCGCCCAAAGTTAAGGTTCTTTGTTTTTTTGTTATTCTTCTTCTTTGAGAGTAGGCACTTTGCGAGTGGAGGAGGAGGAGAAGGAGCAAGAGAAGGAGGAGGAGGAGGAGGAGGAGGAGAAAAAGGAGGAGGAGGAGGAGGAGGAGGAGGGAGGAGGAGGAGGAGGAGGAGGGGGAGGAGGAGAAAAAGGAGGAGGAGGAGGAGGAGGAGGAGGAGGAGGAGGAGGAGGAGGAGGAGGAGGAGGAGGAGTGAGGAGGAGGATCACCAGCTTCGCATCTTCTGCGGGTGTGGCATGTGCGCTCTGGCAGGCCCGGCGTGCTCTGTGGCTTGGCCGCGGCCAGCGCGGGGAGGGCGGCGCCGAAAGGCGGCCTCCGGCTCGGCGCCCAGGGCAGCGGCCGCCGCGGCGCCCGCAGGTGCGCAGCCGCGAGGTCGCCCGCCACGGCGGCGGCTGCGAGGAGGCTGCCGAGCGCGCCCTGCGTGAGCACGCAGCGGAAAAGGCGCCCTGCAGACGGCGCCGCGCCGACGCGGGCGCCCATGGAAGACTGAAGCGTGGCCTGTCTGTGAAGCAAGTTCGCCTGCTTCCCATAGGATGGGGGGGGGCGCCTCTCTGCTCTCGAGCCCAAATATCTACAGATGGCAGAGGAGGAGGAAGAGGCAGAGGAGGAGGATGAGGAGGAGCAGGAGGAGGAGGAGCAGGAGGAGGAGGAGGACGAGGCGGGGGGGGAAGTGGAAGGAGGGACGACGACGACGACGGCGACGACGACGACGAAGACGACGACGATGATGGCGGCGGCGGCGGCGACGATGATGACGACGACGACGAGGGAGACGGGGGGGACGGGGAGAGGAGGAGGAGGAGGAGGAGGAGGATCATTTTTTCCTAGGGGAGAACACGCTACCCGCGGGCGGGCCAGGGGGGGGGTTACAGTAACGAGGACCGCGGCGCGCACCCCCCGAGGCGCGCCGCCGACGTCGTCGTCGTCGTCGTCGTCGTCCAAGCCCTCAATGCCTGTGCAAACAACACGGACCAAACGTGCTGCAGAAACGGTATGTGTGTAAACCACAGCGACTGTATACACCATAACAACCGTGTGCTGTTTCAACACTCCTTGCGCACCACAATGCCTACGCATACCAGAACGGTTGTGTACACCTGACAGTACCGACGGAGCCAAACTCCGGAAAATCGTTCAAGGCCCGAACGTATCAAATTCAATCGGTGGGCTGATTGTGATTATTTGTATTCCTGGCCCAAGGAACGCTCGGATAGTTTAGGCCCACAGCGCCTTTGTACGCCATAGCGACTGCGCACGTCATGGCAATTGTGGTGCACTCCCCAGCGTTCCCGACGCTCCCGACTCTCCCAGCGCTCCTGACGCTCCCGATTATCCCGGCGCTCCCGGCGCTCCCAACGCTCCTGACGTTCCTGACGCTCCTGACGCTCTTGACGCTCCTGACGCTCCTGACGACTCTGACACTTCTGATGCTCCTGACGCTCCTGACTCCCCAGGCCTCCGGAGGCTTCCCCGGATGGGAGCGTCGGAAGCCTCTATGGCGTGCACCGCGGCACCCGTGAACACCACGCGGCTTGGGGACGCGCCGAGCGGCGTCAGCCGATGGAATACATGCATGAGAAGCAGGAGGAACAGCAGCACCAGCAGGAGGAGCAGGAGGAGCAAAACGAACCCCACGAAAGGGGTCGACAGCTCGCGGCCCGCGATCATTTTCAAAGAGCAATGCCAAGACGCCCGCCACCATCTGACAGCATGTGCACTTCTACGGCCCCGACGGAGCCAAAGTCTGGGAAATCGTTGGGGGCCCGATGTATCATTTCCTATACGAAACCTGATTGTGATTATTGTTTTTGTTCTGGCCTGGGGAAGTGTGCGCCACACGGCCTGTGTGCACCACAGTGCTTGTGTACACCACAATGCCCGCGCCCTTTACTTTCAAGGAGGAAGAAGCAGGAAGAGATGCGGGGTACATCATAGCCCGCAACGCACGCTTACATCATAGCGACCTTGCGAACTGCAGCGATGGTGTATATCACGGCGCCTGCGTACACCACAGGGCTTGTGATGTGTACGCAACAATGATTGCGTGCACCCACTACGCCTGTGCACTCCACAGCTGCTGCTGCAACGACAGTTGTGAACCGCCATGCCCGCGTACACCGTAGTGCAGGCCCGCGTGCACCGCGGCACCAGTAGTGCCCGCGTGCACCACAAGCCCTAGGCTGCCTGCGATCGCGCACTGGACCGGGCCAGGGCGTTACCCTTACGGGGGGGCGGCAAGGAGGGGTAACATGTCTTGTCCCTTGGGTTCGTTTTTCTATGGCTTCGAGAATAGGAGGAGAGGAAAAGATCCGGCGCTCTGGCTGACCCCCGTTGGCATTGACCCCCCGTCCCAAGGCTCCCGAGAGCGCCTCCTGCCTCTCGCTCGACGGCCCCGCCCCGCTGCCGCCTCCTGCGCTGCCTTCTGGCTCCCCTCCGCTGGGCCCTCGCTCTGCCCTCCCGCCTGCCGGCTTGGCACGCCCGAGGTGGGCATGGGCTCGAGCGGGCTTTCAGCTGCTGTTGACGCTGGGGGGCCCTTCTGGGCCTCCCCCCCCAGGTGTGCAGCCCTTCTGCTCTCGTGAGGGCTCTGGCCTCCCCGCCTCTTCCGCGGCCGCTCCTCCCCACCTGCTTTTCCGCTCCTGCTGCCGCCGAGTCGCAATGCCGTCGCCCGGCTTGCCCGTGCGCGCGCGCGGACTGCCACTGCCGCGCCGCGACAAAAACGTGCTCCACCTCTCGCTGTTCTCGGACGCTCAGAAATGGGCACCAGCACCATCACCTAGGCTTGCCTCAACCAAGGGGAGGGTGATCCTAGATCTTAGTGTATGTGGTGGATTTTCGGTCACCTTGGAAGCCCGAACATTGCTACCATCACAGAGATCGGGATCATCTTCCCTCGGTGGAGGCACATCGCCGATACTGGTGTTGGTGTCGACCTCTGGGCCTCCGATGTTCGGCTAAATCGGCTTACAATCAACACGTGTTTTCGGGACGCCAAGTAAGGGCGCAAGACCCTTGGGAGGCCGGAGCTCGGCTTGTTGGGGGCGGGCGGGCGACCCGTGAAAACGGCACAGGACGGGCCGCAGAGGCAAGGCCACAAGGGTACCCCAGATGCAGGCGCGCGTACTTACTAGGCGCGTTGACTGCACGGTGGAGATTTTAGATTAGGATACCGTGGACAAGGAACCCAGGGTCTCGCGACTGATGTTCGGCCAAACGTGGACCGCCCACCTCGCCTTGACACAAGAAAAAATGCGTCAGGGTCTGGGCCCCAGGAAGACGTTCCTTATCTAATACCGCCGCCGCAGTTGCTGTTGAGGACGCTGGGGGCGTGTTTGTCTCCGCCGTGTTCCACCTGTCGGTGCGCGGCCAAGGGGGAAACAAACCGGCAACCCAGAAACAGAAACGAGAGCGCTGTGCAAAATAGAGCCAGACCGAAAACAGAGCGAACGAACATCCCAAACAGAAAAAACAGCATGTCTTTTCTTGCAAACCTCACCGTCTTCGCTCCCTGGCGACGGAGCGTCTCTGGAACGCTTGGCACTGGGCGATGAGCAATGCCAACCGGCCACTCGGCTCGCGAACGAGCCCTGTACACAGGCCGGGCAGGCACCACGTGCCAGACGCCGCTGTCGGCGAGTGCCAGCTGCCCCCGAGTTGTAAAGCCAATCCGTCTTGCAAGCCATCGCTTTGAGGTGCACGTCGTGGCCAACAGAAAAGCACACGTCCCTTTCAACTCTGTCCTGGGCGCCGCGGTCTACAGCTCGCTAGATAGGCTCTTCAACATCGCGGACGACAGGTGCCCAAGCCTCTCCGCTGCGGGCCTCGGCGCCTCAACGTCGGGCTTGCGCGATTCCGCCTTCGTGCGCGCCGCCTCGAGCGCGGCGCAGCGCTCGCCGACTTCGCCGTCAGAGCTCGCTGGTGCGAGGAGGAAGGCGCTGATGCCCTCCCTGGTCGCCCCGCGGGTTGCGATGTCCTCCCTCTCGGGCTTGTCTTCCTCCCAGAAGCGCTCGCTGTCCTGAATCAGGGCCTCGATCTGCTCCTCGGTCAGCCTCCTGTTGGCAACCACCGCGCGAACAGTCGTGTTGGAGGCCTCGTGCTCGACCGCCACGTGGAGCAGGCCGTCGGGGTCAATCTCGAGCGACACCTGGATGGCGGGCTCGCCTGCGAGGGCTGGCGGAATACCATCCAGAGTCAGGCAGGCCACCAGGTGGTTGCCGCTGGGCAACGGACGCTCCCCCTCGTAGACCAGGACACGGACGCTGGACTGGTTGTCCTGGGCCGTCGACACGCTGACGGCGGCCCGTGCGGGCATGACCCGGTTGCGCGCCACCACGGGGTGCACCAGCCCGCGCCCGGACAGGATCCCCAGGCTCAGTGGCGTCACGTCCATCAGCAGGAGCGCGTCCGCCCCACCCGGGCGAGAGCTCTCCTCCAGGCCTGGGCCCGAGGGCCTGCCCGCCGCTGCGCTGTGCGAGCGTGCCCCAAGCGCCCGCTCGCGCTCGCCCGAGGGCCCCGCGCGCCGGGCCGCTCTGGGGCCCCTGCCGCCGAAGCGCGGGGCCTGCCCGCCGCTGGGGCGCTCGAGCCTGGAGTGGTTGCCGCCCGTGGCCTCCGCGATCTGGCGGAACTCCCGCTCGGTGCGGCCGCCGGCCCCGCAGTCGTCCCCGACGCAGATGGTGTGCACCTTCACGCCCATCGCCCTCGCCAGGGCGGCGGCGGACGGCACATCGTAGCCGTCCCCGTACTCCTGGGGCGGCGCATCCCCGACCAGGTAGACGAGCCGCACTCCGCCAGCGCCCGAGTGCGACCAGTCCATCTCGAGTGCCCGGTGGAGGCCGATCCCGACATGCTCTGGAGTGTCTCCCCCGCCATCCGCGCGCACATCCATGATGGCGTCACGAACCGATGGAAGGTCCCGCGAGAGAGGCACGCTCAGCACCAGCTCCGAGTCCACGACGTCGCGGTAGAAGACGGCCCCGAAACGCACGTCGGGCACCGGCTTCCTGTGCACCAGGCTGTTGCCGATCCCGACGACGTTCTGCTTGACGTCCTCGATCTCGGCACTCATGGAGCCGGTGGCGTCGATGACGAAGACGATGTCCGCTCGCGCCCCAGGCGCTGGCTCCGTCGCCCCGGAGAGGCGTGCCCCACGCCACAGGGCGGCGCCCGCCACCGCCAGCGCCAGCAGGGCCAGGGCGCCCCGCGGGCAGCGCCCGGCCCCGCGCCTGGGCTGGGGCCGCAGCGGCGGCGGCGCCATGTCGGCTCGGCGCCGCGTGGCCGGGGCCGGGCCGCCCCCCCGCAAGAGGGGTGGTTCAAGGACGGAGCCCCTGAGCCAAGCACGCGCCGAGCCTGTGGACAAAAACGCGGACCCTGAGGGAGAAAGAGAACGCCCCCAGCGTCCAGGACATCGTCTCAGAAGCTGGGCACGGTGCCCAACGACAAGTGCTGTCCGAGACTGACAGCGCCCGCCGCTGGGCAGCAGATGTCTGTCTCAGACAGGAACAACGCCCGCGGCGACTCCGACGGCGAGCCCTGCCCCCAAACGGGGCAGGGACTGCCGTCGGTCTTCGAAACCCGCTCCTCCCGGTCCCGTCTCGACCGACCCGCGGCCCGCTATGGCGAGGCCTTCAAGACGCGCCAGCAGGGTGCCCCAAGAGCGCGAAAATCGTGAAGTTCCGCCTCCCTCCTCCACCTCCTCCTCCAACTCATCCACTTCCTCCTCCTCCTCCTCCTCCTGCCCGTCGGTCCCCTCCGTGGACCTCCCCGCCCAGCCGCCCCCCCGCGAGGGTGGCCGCGCATGCGGCGGCGCCCCAGGCCTCCAGCAGCCGCCGCCCCTCGCACGATCTCCTCGACGAGCGCCAGGGCTCGTCCAGCCTCGAGTGCAGCTCGCGAGGTCAAAGCACGAAACACAGCCGACCCGTAATTAGCATAAGGATGCGCGGTAAGGATGCAACGGCCTTGGAGGTCCATGCTAACGTTTTTCGAATGAGGTTGGCCAGCGAAAGCCGCTGAGGATGGGCCGAAGGGGCGAGGATGCAAGGGTACCGTTGGGAAGGTTGCACATCCTTCCTATGCGGGTTGACCCGATTGCGAGAGGTCGAGAGGGCATCGCCACAGACGGGACTGAGGAACTGGGGGGCAAAAGGCACGAGCGCCGAGGAGGGGTGGAGGTAGAGATGTCACGTGCGGCATGTTCATGGTGGGTAGAGGCTCGAGGCCTCGGCGGAAGGGGCAGGCTGGCGTCCCCTGCATGGACCTCAGCAAGGAGAGAAGGTATATGGTGGAGGGCGGCGGGAAGGGAGAGCAGGAGTAGAAGAGAACAGGGTAAATCTTGATACCCTGAAGCGTTGGCGGCATTGATTTTGGTCACAATGGTGGTGGTCTTCGACGTGCTATGTTCAGCGAGCATCGAATCGGGAAATGGGATCGAATCAGAATCTAAGTCGGATCGGGCCGCACCGTCACGAAGTCGGAATCGCATCGGGTCGGCGACGCCAGGACGCACAACAGCGCCACTCCAGCGTCGGGCCGAATAGAATGTAAGAAACATTGGAATCGAATGGGATCGGGCCGGCCATGATTGGTACCGAATCGGATCGAGCGGATCGAAGTGGACCCCTGCGTGGCGGATGTGGCTGTGATTGTCGCGGTGCGCGGTCGCCAGACAGCGGCCTGCACAGGCTATCACAACAACTGGATGTCTCGCATGCGCTGGCGTCTGTTCCAATTTCCCACTGCAGACCGATCGGCTTTCAGCAGTGCTCTCGCGACAGGCCTGCCCTTTCCACAACCGACTGGCCTGCGTTACCCCTACAACTGCCATGGACTGGGCCTGCGCTTCGCTTGTCCCATCTGCCGCGCGCCGCTTGCCACCCACTGCCAGTCTGTCCGAGAAGCCGCTTCGATCCGCCACGCTGGGCGCACTGAGGCGGTGGCTGCCTGCATTCCAATCGAGAGCGGCGACAGCAGGGAGCTAGCCCCTGCTGCTCGATATGACATGCCTACCCAGGTGGCCCTGCAGGGCGGCGGTACCCAGTGGGTCCGTGGATCAGAAGAGGACGGAACAGAGAGGAGCAAGACAGATGAGCTGGAGATGCGGGCACGTAACATCTGGGCAAACAACGATTCACATGCGCCGCGCTGCGGCTGCCCAAGCGTGCAGACCATGTTGCCACTGCGTTCCCGACCTTGTTCGCCACCGACCGACCCTCAGCATGGCTTCGCCCCGCCATGTCCGCCCATGCTGGTCCAAGACGAACGGCTTTCGCCTCACCTCGCACGAGGGCCGCTGTCGGAGGCAAGCGCCGCAGAAGCTAGAGCTCGAGGTGAGGGGGAACGTTAGGGGGCAGGGACCGGCCGAGAGGGAAAGCATCGACATGGAATCGGCGGAGCATCGCAGGTAGATCGGCGATAGAGCCCCGACAGCAAATCCGGAATGGTCCTTGGCGGGGTGGGCTATCGGCTATCAGGCCCCTGTCAGCGATGAAAGGGCCACTGGTAATCGATGGGTTGCCCCCTGAGCCCATCCCCCCACTCACGTGGCCCCTGAGCGTCGGAGGTGAGCGCGCATTCACGGTTCATCCATGCGAATCGACGACGGCCTGCATGGACCATGGCCAGAATCGGCGTCGACAAATCCCGCGACATCTTGGTCACGGTCTGGTAGAACTTCATGTTGCGCGCGGACATCCCCTGGGTTGGCGTAGACTGCCTTGGACTGCTCGGGCGGCCTGGTGAGGCCAGCTGGGGATTCTCGGGAGGTCTGTTGAGGCCAGCTGGGATTGGGCTGTCTGTGCCCAACCCGAAGCCTTACAACTAGCCGTACTATCATACCCCGGGGCCTTCCCCTGAACCAGCTCTTTTTCTGACACTCCCGAGGACCAGGAAAAGCATCCGAAGCCTGAAAACGACGGCCAACCTCAAGAACCCTTTTTAGCACATGGCCCTCTCGTGATTGATGGGCAAGATGTGTGTCCATACCCGCTGCATCTTGGAATTTCCGACTCCCTTGCCCAGATATCCAAGACGCAGTGGATGAGCACACCAGTCTTGCCCACGTGGCGCTTCCCTCGACCAGCGGCCGCAGCCGGAGAGAGGCCTTGCGTGGTTCTTGTCCGGCGTCTCGGCCTCCGGCGGCAGGACCACCGGCAGCCCGCCTCCTGTGACATGGGGCCACCGATTTGTCTTCGTGGTAGCACGCGCGGGGGCATCCGCGGGAGCGCGGGGCCACTGCTTCTCTCCTTTTTTTTTTTTTTTTTTTTTTTTCTCTCTCTCTCTCTCTCTCTCTTTCTCTCCCTCTGTCTTTTCGATGTGGCTATACGTACACCGGACAATGACTATTTCGGTCTGTAGATGCATACATACACATACATACATATATACATACATACATACGCACATACATACATACATACACACATACGTACATACAGACAGACAGACAGACAGACAGACAGACAGACAGACAGACAGACAGACAGACAGACAGACAGACAGACAGACAGACATGCATGCATGCATGCATGCATACACACTTACTTACTTACATACATACATGCATGCATACATACATGTACGCATCTTGCTGTATCCCCGCCGCCTGAACAAGTGAGCAGAGAGAGAGAGGAAGAGACAGAGAGAGGGAAACGTCGCCCTACTGTGATCGCACTTCTCACTCATTACTATTCGTCGTCTTTGGGTTCTCTTCGGGAACCTCGTGGAGCACTTCTAGGCGAGGAGAGAGGGACAGGGAGAGAGAGAGAGAGAGAGAGAGAGACATCGTCCTCCTGCTCCTCCTCCTTCGGCTTTTCATCCTCCTGCCCGTCCTCCTACTCCTGCTTCTGCTGCTCCTCCTCCTCCTTTCCCTCCTTCTCCTCTGGGGGTGGGGGGGGTACACGTCGGCTCCTCGGTGGAGGGTTTACAGCTAGATTCCCTTTGTGGTGGAATTGCCCATCAATGCCCCTATGCGGGCGGTGGAGAACCAACAGAAAGCATGGACAAGAGGACAACAACTAGGAAACCAAGCGCCCAGTACTGAATAACAGAACACACACACACCATGAAATACCAAAACTAACAAAACATGCTCATACTTACTCACTCCACCAGATCCACTACTCCACCGTCCCCTCTCTCCTCATTCCACTCCCCTTCCTCCCACGACCCCCCCCCATTTCACTCTTCCTCCTCCCCTTCCTCCACCTCACGCCTCACTTCTCCTCCTCGGAGGGGGGGAGAGGGGGGAGGGAGGAGGAACGAGGGCGCAGCTGGAGGAAAAGGCGAGGAGGAGGGGGAGGGCGGAGAGGGGAGGATAAGGAGGAAGAGGATTATGAGGATCGGGAGGAGTGAGGAGCGAGGGGTGATGAGCAAAGAGGAGGGAGAAGGGCGGGGAGGAGACAGGATGAGGAGAAGTGAGGAGCTGGTAGCGAAAGGAGAACCGAGGACTCTGTCCGCCGTCCGCCGACCTCCGTGCTCCTCCTCCGGCCTCCGAAAGAGAAAGATGGACGGACCCATGCCTCCTCCTCCTCCTCCTTCTCCCCCTTTATCCCCCTCCGAACTCCTCACTACTCACCCCTCACTCCTCATTCCCCCTCCTCCTCCTCCTCATCCTACGTACCGCCTCCCCGCTCTCCACCTCTCCTTCCTCATCCTCGTCGTCCCTCCTCCATTCTGCTGTTTCCCCCCTCCTGAATGGCAGGGGTGGAACGTGATGATGATGATGATGATGATGATGATGATGATGATGATGATGATGATGGTGATGATGATGATGATGATGAGGACGCGAACGAAGAGGGTAAGGATGAGGAGGAGCATATGGGAGGAGGAGGAGGAGGTGGAGGAGGAGGAGCAAACGGTGGGTGGGGAGAGACGGGGAGACGGGACGTGGAACGATGAGGAAAACGACGGTGGAGCAGTGGAACGGTGGAGTGAATACGGACTGGCCTCAATTCGATTACTTTTTTAGGGGGGCCCATCGTTTTTCCCGTTTTTCCCAACCATCATATGGTGTTAGGTCCTCGTTTTTTTGAAAAAGAAGCGCCCCGCGTCCTGTCCTCCAGATCATCATCCCCCTGCTCCCTTGCGCCCATGCCGTGGCACACACCCGCCACGCTTTTCAAGTCCCATAGCAGCTCCACAGAACGCAAAAATGAAAACGTCCGCCCATGCCCCGCTGTATAAGGCCCATGCGGGATCCGCCGAAAGCCACACTAAATTATATAGCGTGAAGTCGCATAGGAGACCCACAGGCGGCCAACATGAAAAAGACAGCATGCAGTCGCGGGGTCACTCCGCCCGCCCCTGCCATGCTTGTCAAGCGCCGCCGAAGCTCCACTGTAGACCAACATGGAGAATTCCGCGTGCAGTCGTGGGCTCGTTTCGTTGGCCCGTGCCACGCTCGTCAAACCCCAGATGAGCTCCCACAACGGCTGGGAAAACATTGTCCGATAGCCTGGCCGAGCTCTGGTCACAACATTCGGCCACACAGTCGCTTCCAAAAGGCAGGGGGCAGCGATGATTCGTAGCAGGCGTCGGCGATACACATACCATAGAAAAAAGTATGCATACATACGAATATGGCTATCACTCCTCTCTCTCTCTCGTTCTACGTCATCTGTCACTCTCCCTCAATCTCCGGTTCCACTTCACAATCTTTCTCTCTACTCGTCTACTCCCTCCCTCTCTCCCTCCCTCTATCCCTCCCTCTGCCTCTCCCTCTCCCTCTCTCCCTCCCCTCCTCTTCCTCCATCACCTCTCCGGGGGCACCCCAGGCGTGGAGCGCCCTCTCCTCCGTGGGCGCGGCCCCGAGTTGCCACTGGCGTGTCTGAAAGCCACCCCTGCGCCCACCTGCGGCACCCGGCTCGTCTCGCCGCGGCGCGCCCTGGGCGCCCAAACCGTGCCTTCGGCGCGTACTGTAATCAGTGCACGCCCGCCTTGGCCACGAGGGCTCCGCGCTCCGCGTGTTGTCGGCAGCCAGTGGCCGCGGCGCGCGCACGCGGATCCGCGTGGCGACTCGGTGTCTGTCTCTCTCACTCTCTCTCTTTCCCTCCCTCCCTCCCTCTCTCTCTCTCTTTCTGTAAAACTGTTTTTTTTCTTTTTTTTCTTTTTTCTCTCTCTCTCTCTCTCTCTCTTTTTCCACACATGTGAGTTGTTTGTGTTGTTTTTGTTCTCTCTCTGTCTCTGTTGCTCTGTTGTTCTCTCTCTCTCTCTCTGTCCTGACGTTCGGTCGGGCACGTCTTCCGACAGGCGGATGGTGGAAGACACATGGAACATAACCAACAACACAATAATAAACCAACAAAACCAGAACACGTTCCCAGAGTATTTGTTTTAACAATTTCCGAGCATTCCTCCTGTAGAGGGACGTGCCCGACTTAATCCTAACGCTGAGCGTCGGACCCTCTCCGAGGCTGCCCTTGGAGCCTACCTCGGCCTCGCAGCCTACCCGGCCGCTCGGCGCCGAGGGCCGACCGGGGACTGGAGGAGCAACATCGGCGGCCGTCAGGGCCAAGCCCGTGGGCCAACTTCCCTCCCATGCATACATACGTACATACGTACATGTATACACTCATACATACATGCAACCATACACATGCATATCTAAACATGTATATACACCGTATCGTCTGCCCTCGGGGACGGAACGACACGAAAGGGAGGAGTGGGCCTGCAGGAGGGACGAGAGGAGCACGCGTGAGGCAGTGTGGGAAGCCGCTCACGGAACAAGAGGAACAGAAAAAGGCATAAGCGTGAAGTTTTGGCGCTCCGCGCGGACACCTTGGATCTGCGCCGCACCCCCTCCCTGGCGCGCGCAGCGCGCCGCGGCGGGGGGGGCCAGCGCGCATCCAAGGTATCCGCGCGGAGCGCCAAAAGACTGTGCTTGTATGCCGCTCTTGCTCTTTCGAAGCATGGAACCCGCTCGGCGGCCCATGCGGCGACCCGCAGGCCGCGGCGCCGCACTGCTGAGCGGAGAGGGGGGGTGGGGGAGGAGGAGGAGGGGGAGGAGGAGGAGGAGGAGGGGGAGGAGGAGGAGGAGGAGGAGGAGGAGGAGGAGGAGGAGGCGGAGGAGGAGGCGGAGGAGGAGGAGGAAATGTAGGAGGAGGACGAGGCGGAGGAGGAGGCGGAGGAGGCGGAGGGGGCCGAGCGCGGCGGAGCGGGCCGCGGCGCGTCCTCCGAAGCGCACTGGCCCCGAGAGCCGCCGGGGGGTCTTCTCGGAGAGCCGGGACCTCTCGGACTTCTCGGAGAGCTCCTGGCGGGAGGGGCGGAGTCGTCGGCGCCGACACCCCCTCCTCCCATCATTCCCTCCTCTCGCCGTGCCTAAACTCCACTCCGAGCTCGTAGAAAAATACACACCGAGAATGGGACACACACACACACACACGCACACACGCACACACACACTGACTGTGTGCGTTTTCTCCACAGGTCACGGCGTGTTTGTTTCACAGTGTGTGTGTGTGTGTTTTTGTTGTGTTAGCGTTTTTTTTCCCACAGTGTGTTTTTGTTCCGAGCTGAGCCTATCCCCACCCTCCTGCAGCCCAGCTCCCCACACTGCCTCACGCGTGCTCCTCTCGTCCCTCCTGCAGGCCCGCTCCTCCCTTTCGTGTCGTTCCCTCCCCGAGGGCAGACGATACGGTGTATATACATGTTTAGATATGCATGTGGATGGTTGCATGTATGTATGAGTGCATACATGTACGTATGTACGTATGTATGCATGCATGCATGTATGCATGCATGTATGTATGTATGTATGTATGCATGCGTGCATGTATGCATGTGTGCCTTTGTGCTGGCTGGCACCAGATCTGTAAAACTATACATGCGTACACACATTTATATACATACATATATATATATGTGCGTATGTAAGTAAACCTGCATGTACGTATGTCTGTATGTATGTAGGTGTGTGCATTTACAGGTGTATGTATGCATGAATGTATGTATGCACGCATGTATGAATGCATGTTTGCCTACATGTGTGTATGCACGTATACATATATAGACCACCAGAAACAACATAATCGGTTGCTCGTGCGGAAAATACTAGCATGCCGCGCTGGTGCTGGGGGCGGCAGTACCGAATGACGAACTTGGTTCACAATGCTATCTGCTCTTTACTGTCTGCTGCCTGTCCGCTGTTGGAGGCTCTCTACGCTCTAGTCTCTGCCATCAACTCACTACTCTCTCTCTCTGTTCTATGTTATCAAGCATCCGCTCTCCATTCCTTGTTCTCTGCCTGCAATCGGGGTTGTTCGGGGTCTACGTGAGCGGCTGCTTTATACAGGTTCCGGCCTGAGGTTGCATGGGCCGACTGCGTGTGAATTCATGCAGGCGCCCTGGGCACCCTCCTCGGAGGTGGGCTCGGGTGTTCTGTGTCGGGCAAGCCCGTATTCTCTGCCATCAACTCACCATATACGCACTATCTACCCTCTCGCCTCTGCACTCCAACTCAATACTTTGACACGGAAGTTCCACCCTCTACCCGTTGGTCTCCGCCCTCTGCTCTACATCCTCCATCCTCCCCGCTTGAACTCATCTCTCTCTCTCTCGACTCTACGCAACAAGCACTTTGCACTCGACACTGCAGTGCACCCTCTCGACTCTCAAACCAAACCTACGGACCCTTTGGTCAGTGCAAACCCCCATCTGCCCCTGCATCTTTCTGCTTCTGCTGTTTCTGCCACTCTGGCTTAGTGCATGTCTCTCTCTTTCTCTCTCTGTCTCCATCCCTCCCTCTCTCCCCTTCTCTGTCTCTCTCTGTCTCTCTCTCTCTCTCGTTCCCAACCCCCTCTCTCTACATCTTTCCTCTAGCGCATGACGCGTTCTGGACTACACTCCGTCTGCTTGACCTGCTCTCTCTCTCTCTCTCTCTCTCTCTCTCTCTCTCTCTCCATCTCTCTCCTCCCTGGGAGCACGGGACCCTGGCCGCCTCACCGAGGCGACGGCGCTAAATTCACCAAGGCCCGCCTTCCAGAGCTAAGGAACCTCCACATGGCGTCTGGAGGGAGGGCTGATGCGTCTTTGACTTACTCTGGGCCCCCGTTCTCCCTTCCTCCTCTTCCTCCTCCTCCTCCTCCTCCTCCTCCTCCTCCTCCTCCTCCTCCTCCTCCTCCTCCCCTTCCTCCGCCTGCCCCATCCTCCTCCTCCACCTCCTCCTCCTCCTCCTCCTCCTCCTCCTCCTCCCACTCTCCTCCTCCTCCTCCTCCTCACTCCTCCCCCCCCCTCCGCCTCCTCTCCTCCTCCACCTCCTCCTCCTCCTCCTCCTCCCTCCTCCTGCTCCTCCTCCTCGTTCTCCTTCTCCTCCTCCTCCCTCCTCCTCCTCCCCTCCACCTCCTCCTCCTCCTCCCCCCCTCCGCCCTCCGCCCGTCGCCCTCCTCCCTCCTCCCTTCCCCTCATCCTCCTCCTCCTCCCTCCTCCCTCCTCCCTCCCCCTCCTCCTCCACCCTCCGCCTCCCTCCACCCTCCTCCCTCTCCCTCCTCCCTCCTCCCTCCTCCTCCTCCCTCCTCATTCCTCCCTCCTCCTCCTCCCTGCTCCCCCCTCCGCCTGCCCCCCTCCGCCTCCTCCGCCTCCTCCTTCTCCTCCTCCTCCTCCTCCTCCTCCTCCTCCTTCTCCTCCTCCTCCTCCTCCGCCTCCTCCTCCTCCTCCTCCGCCTCCCCCCTCCTCCTCTCCTCCCCTCCACTCCCCCTCCCTCCGCCCCCCCCCCCCCTCCCCCTTCCCTCCCCCTCCCCCCTCCCTCTCCTCATCCACCCCACCCCCCCTCCCGTCCCCCTCCCCCCGTCCCCTTCCCCCGTCCCCGTCCCTTCTCCCCCTCCCCCTCCCTCCCCCATCCCCCTGCCCCTCCCCATCCTCCCCCTCCCCCTGCCCCTCCTCCTCCTCCTCCTTCTCCTCCTCCTCCTCCTCCCTCCTCCTCCTCCCCTCCTCCTCTACCACCTCCTCCTCCTCCGCCTCCTCCGCCTCCGCCTCCACCTCCACCGCCCATCGCCGCCGCCTCCTCCTCTCCTCCTCCTCTCTCCTCCTCCTCCTCCTCGCCTCCTCCTCCTCCTCCTCCTCCTCCTCCTCCTCCTCCTCCTCCTCCTCCTCCTCCTCCTCCTCTTCCCCGCAAGCATTCACTAGAAACCCACCGACATCGGCGGTTCACCTCTGCCAAACTCTTACAATACCGTGGACCCAAGACCTGGAACTCGGAAGCCGAGTCCGCACACCGAGATCTGTCTTGCGTGTACGTATGCCAAGCCTTCAATATCCGCGAGGGACCCATCAGTGCAAGCACAGAGTTTGGAAGGAGCAATCACGGCCGCCGCGCAGCATTCCCCGAAGACGGGGTGGAACAATCCGCAACCAAAGCAAGTGAGGGAACCGACGATGTCCAGCTGGACAGAAGTGTAACCAGGGATCTCTTCGCACTGTACCATAGCAGCATCGGTGGCAAACGCTCCTGCGAACTAAGCGCGCAATGAAAGAGGAACATTCACGCAACGAAAAAACTGCAGCCATCATCTCGTCGCACTCCTTTTGCGCTTTCCCCCAATTCTGGCTCCCTGAACTGACTCACATACCACCGATGCTGCGCCTCCGTTGCTGCGCCGTTCCTCCCATTCCCCTCGCACCCCAGAGGAACAGAAATGGTGCCCCCCTATCATCGGGAGGATCCTCCCGATGCCGCCCGACTCGGGACGCCTCAAACACCCAACTCGGGAATGCATCAAGGACCTCCTCGCTGGAGATGGCCTGCTGGCGGAGGTGTCGCTTCTCCTCCCTCCGGCCCACTTGCGTCCCCGCTCAGTGCCCGTGCGCCCATCACTGGTTCCCGCGTCGGCGGCTGCTGCGTCGGCGAGGGCCTGCTTGATCTCGTCCAGGTCCTTCTTGAAACCTCTGATCGTCCCCGACAACCTCATCTGGTTCGCCGCCTGATTGACCTCGCGCGGCACGCGCTCTCCTCCCATTGACCCGCCCACGGACGCCACGATTCTCCTTGGCCCTCCTCGAAATCCACCACCGTGCCTTCCGCACGCAGTAGAGCGCTCCGAGATCCATACAAATGTCTGGGCCCCCCTCGTCCCAGCGCTTTCGGGATGCGTCGTGCGAGTCGCAGACACTGCCATCCGGCGTACCCGACCTGCTTCTTATCAGCACAAGGCAGCGGCAAGCAGAAGCGCTAAGCACACACGGACACATGACATAATCTGCGGTCCCCTTGAACGCGTCGCCAAAGAACACGGGCACACACCCGGGGTGCTGTTGTCGACCAGGCGTCTGGTCTGGCGAAAAGCCCCAGGAGGGAGAGGGGCACCGACCACCGACTTGCGCGGCGCCCGCGCCGGCAAGAGGGACGAGGAGGAGGAACAGGGGGGATGTAGGGCAGGAGGGGCGGAGAAGCGAGGAGGAGAAGGACGAGGAAGATGAGGAAGAAGAGACAGCTCCTGCTCGCGCTGAGGCCGCCTGGCAACGGCCGCTTGCTTCCCGGTGCTGTCAGACGAGCTCAGAGAGCATCCCCAGCCACTCGGCTTTTCGAGCATGGCGACCGTTGTCGCCTTGACGATAGCCGGCAAGATCGCATGACCGTTGACACGATCATCGGCCTGATCGGCGTCGGACTGTCAACGAAGTCTCTGTCGCGTGGCGGCGCACACCGGCGAAGCCATTGAAGAGCAGAGATAAAACATCCAGCAGCTTGCCCACGACCAAAGGTTTCTGGGGATATCCGCACAGTTGGGGATGCGGGCAATACACCAGCGTGAAGAAACAGCAGCTTGTTTGAGTGAGGAAGGGGGGGAAGAGGACCAAGGAGACTGACCCACCCAAGGGTCCGCAAGATAGGAACGGTGACGATGAGGCTTTTCCCAATGGGGAGAATCCTCACACCAATATCAATCAATACCTCAGCCGGGATGGACATACTTGAGGGAAGGAGGCGGAGATACATGGCACACACACACATCGGAACTCAATCTTGACTTCAGGAGTGGAATCGCGGGGAGGCCAACTCGACCACTGCACACCCGGTCTCTGGGCCGGCGCGCGAGGGAAGGCATCGCACCCTCGCATGGCCACCGAGCCTGCAACTGCGTGGGCGAGGATGGCTTTCTCCCACCTGCTCCCATGACGCCGACACCGGCGCGACTCCAGCGTTCCAAGAAAAACAATTCTCGGCAGCGTGGCGAGTTCGACCTACCAGCCAAGCCGCTGACCCTCTCACCCCAACGCCTTCCTCCTGCCCACCAAGCCCTGTCCCTCCTCGTCCTCTTCACAACCGTCCTTCTGCTCCCAGAAACTCTTTGGAGCTCCCTGGAGCTCTCACGAGGTCTCTGGAAGGAGGTCTCTGCTGAGATCCCTGGAGGCCTCCAGTGGCACAGGCGGGCCCCGAAAAGGCGTCCATAAAGGCGCCAAGGCGCCCCTGAACACACAATTCCGATTCCGATCCTCGGTTGCACGGTTACACGCTCAGGTCTTCAGCCGGCTCCAGGAGCAGCAAGAGGACAAACACCGAACAGGGCAGAGTGCCCCCCTGGAGGCTTCACGCGGCGCCCGTGGAGAAGAAGGAGGGCCGGGAGGAGGGAGGACGGAAGGAAGGAAGGAGAACGGGCGCTGTCGAAAGCCTCAACCCTCTCACCCCCCTCCCTCCTCGTCCTCCACCTTCCCAGGGCAAGCCGCAGGTGCGCACAAGCGAGAGGCGTCGGAACGGGCCGCGACGGCGGCCCGAGCGTGCTGGGCTGGAGGGCACAGACGCCCAGCAGCACATGTGCAAGCAGGCGCAAGAAAACGAGAAGAACATCATTTCAAGAACATGAGACCCGCAGTCGGCCGAAGCACAACACATCCAAGGGTTCCCTCCCCAGGATGCACAGCACAACACCTTGGCAAGCACGAAGAAAATCAGGGCACCTTCCGCGAACCGACCTCGATCTTATACATCGGTCCGGCTGTACGTCGACAGGACACGGCGGATGGAACGAGACGGCCCCCTGACAATCTCCCACACCTCGGGACCCTTCGTCACCACCTGAAAGAAAGTTCCTCCAAGTGCTGGTGGTGGTCGCCTCTGGTCAGTGTGTGAGGTTCTACCATCGCCGCCCCCCGCTGCAGCACCAGATTGGCGGGCAGGGAAGTAAGGGAACATCTGAAAATGGGCAACGCGCGGCCGTTGGTAGGACGACACCAGGGGAGCGAACGCGAGGGCTGTATAGGTCCCCATGACTAGCCACCGAACACAGCCCTGAAAACTTCGGAGTTCCATGAACGTGTCTACCAAAGCACTGGAGAGACAAGGCAGGACGAAGTGAGGGAATGAGAGCAGAGACAGTGACGACGGCGCGATGGAAACTATCCACCTCCTCCTCCTCCTCCCCTCCTCCTCCTCCTCCTCCCAGTCCCGCTGGTAGCCGCTGGTAGGCGTTAGCCGCTGGTATGCGTTTCCAGACGCATCCGAGAGTCATACATTTTTCCCCAACCTGGCTTATCGCATCGGTTCTTGCCTTTCAGCGGCGTTCCTTGGGGGAAGTAAGAAGGATAATGCCTTCTTGAGAAGGTTCCGAAGTCCCCTGGCTTTCTCCACAACTCCCTAAACTTTTCGGCGAAGACACCCAAAGCTTCTCGGAAGACGCGATGGCTTCTGAGAAGTTCCGCCGCCTCCCGAGAAGGCCTTCTCCTTCTCACCCCCCCTCCCTCGCTCGCCGCCGAGTCTTGTCTTGTCTTGTCTTATCTTCTCTTGTCTTATCGTGCCCTGTCTTGCCATGCCATGTCATGTCTTGTCCTCCTCATCCTCCTCTTCTTCCTCATCCTCCTCTTCCTCCTCTCCTAATCCTCGTCCTCCTCATCCTCCTCTTCCTCCTCTTCTTCCTCATCCTCCTCTTCCTCCTCTCCTTCCCCAGGGAATCCAGGGGGGGGGGGCCTGCCCCACGCTCCAGGTCTCGAGGCCGGGGCGGCCCTTCCGGGCCGCGCCGCGCGCGTCCCGGAGGTGGTCCGCGGAGGTCTGCCGCGTCCTCGGGGCGAGGGAGGAGAGCACCGTGCTGGTTGGCCCAAGAGGGGTCCGGCTGCAAGGGGGTGGTGCAATAGACTTGGGGCAGTGGCATCGCACACGTACGTGCTGCGTTGGAACATTGTGCCGCATTGCGTTGCAAACACCCGTCGGTCCGAAGAAGCGGGTAGGAGCCTGAAGCAAGAAGGCGCTGGAAGTAGATTGGGTTTCCGCCCCCCCCCTGAAGAGGAAGAACAACTTGAAACCGCTCGATCACAGAAGTAGGAAGGCGCCCAAGAGAAGATTGGGACCCGAACATCCAAAAACACATACTTTCAACCACCGCTGGGCAATTGCACGTGAAAATCCAGCGATATATCTGCGGAGCAGGACTCTATTGCAGCACCCCCAATCTACTGCACCATGCCTATGGTACCATCCTCTTTTCGCTGGTCCCCTTTGTGGGTTGACCAGAATCGTGTTGGGAGGGAAGGGTTTGGGAAGATACAGGGCACGACTGTGGAAAAAATGCGCTCAGCATTCACGACACCATAGAAGATTTGATCATGCTTCCCTGCCCTATCCTCCCGACCCGATACTTGTCTTCCTGATCAGAGCGAGGCATCGCTGGAGGTGGGGGGGGGGCCAGAGGACGATGAGGTACATTTCGATCGCGCTGTGCTATGTTCAATGCGAATCCGCGGACAACCCCCCCAGACAACAAGAACAACCCGTCTACTGTTGATACCATGACGACAAGATGACGAGTGTGTCTTCCATGAGGTATGACGCCGTGGGCACTTCCGAAGCAAATAACGATCTGGCCATCAGCCGTTTAGAGCGTGAGTGGTTCAGCGAGCTTCCCCTTCCAAACCCTTTTTTCTTCTTCCGTAGGGAGGATATCACTATCCCCCATCAACAAGCACGCTCTCTCCCAACCGGCTGGCAGCCAACCAAGAGACATGCGACACCAATGCGCCCCCCACCATCCCTGTCAGAACAAACTTAGCCAGCGTGGACTCCAAACGGTGTGTTTGTAGCTATCTGTACATATATATATACAGAGTGAGGGGGCCGAACGGTCATTCATTGTCCCTGGGTGCGTGGTTGAAGTGGGGATCCGTGGTGAAGTTTATGATTGTTGCGTTGCTGTTGCTGTTGTTGTTGCTGCTGTTGTAATGTTGTCGTTGTTGGTGGTGGTGTTGTTGTCGTTGTCGTTGTCGTTGTCGTTGTCGTTGTCGTTGTTGTTGGTGTTGTTGTTGTTGCTGCTGCTGTTGTTGTTGTGTTTGTTTATGTTGTTGCTTGATGTCGAAACCTCGCCCGCGACCCACCCCGCGACCCACCCCGCGAACCACCCCGCGACCCACCCCACGACCCACCCCCCGACCCACCCGCGAACCACCCCGCGAACCACCCGCGACCCACCCTGCGACCCACCCGCGACCCACCCGCGACCCACCCGCGACCCACCCCGCGACCCCCCCACGACACTCCCCGAACCCCACCCCGCGACCCACCCCGCTACCCACCCCGCGATCCTCCCCGCGACCCACCCCGCGACCCACCCCGCGACCCATCCCCCGACCCACCCGCGACCCACCCGAAACCCACCCGCGACCCACCCCGCGCAGCCGCGGCTCACCCGCGGCCCACCCGCGACCCACCCACGACCTACCCGTGACCCACCTGCGACCCACCTGCGACCCACCCCGCGACCCCCCGCGACCCCCGCGACCCAACAGCGACTCACCCGCGAGTAACCCGCGACCCAGCCGCGACCCATGTGCGACCCACCTGCGGCCCACCCGCGACCTACCCACATTGGTTTAACGAAAAATTCTGCGCCTGCGGCGGGTTGGTTGCATATTTTGAAAAGTTTAGCGCCCGCGGCGGGCTTCTCCAGAATATCGCAGACCGCGTCATTTTTATGTTGTGCAAGAAACCCTGCCGAATTTGAAATTGACAAATCTACTGCTCGGGGAACCATCCCACCAACCCACCCGAAACCCGGCGTGCAAAACCCAAGCGGCTGCGATTGCGATGTCAGCTGGGCGCTGGCTGGCGCATCGCTGCGGCCGCGCTATCCCGAGCACGCTCACGCTCGCGCACGCAACGGCCAGCGTGCTTGGTGCGACCGACGCGGCCGCGGTGGCGCCGACCACTGGGCATGTCCCAGCGGGCATTTCAGTGCCAATCGGCGGCTTGGGCGGGCGCGGTATGATGTCAGGGCCGACAATGGTACACAACGGTATCATGACAGGGCGATGCTGGTGGCGACGGAAACAACGACGACGGCGAGACCAGTGACGGCGCGAATCAAGCCGACGACGATGACGGCGTCTTCGGGTCGGTGATGCAAGTTTTGGAAGAAGATCGACGTGCGCGCGGCCGACGCGAGTGACCCGCATGGTATTGTTTGACACGGACCGTGCCCCCAACCAGCACGCGCACCAGGGCGTTCGAATAAGTTCGGCATGTGGCGCGAGAGGCCCGATTGGCAGAGTTGAGTGAGCATGTAGAAAACAAACCGATGGCTTCTTTCTCCCAAAATGAATCCCAGGAGCGCGAGCGCAAGATCATTTGAACAGCTGATGTTGCGAAAACTTGTGATGTTATGTTGTCGGAACATTCGATTTTGAACCCCGGGCGAAGCCCGAGGTTTTTGAAGGAATTCGGCATGCGCGCGAGGCGACACGCGCGTGCGCATTTCATCACATGTTTGGCAGCGTGTTTCTTCGTGTGCGAAGCAACGCGTGCAAAATCGATCGGTCGATTGCGATATGCGCACGCCCGATGGTTTTCGTAAGCATGCGCACGAGCGCGGGCGCAAACATGTTTTTGAAAATCCGTATTGCGAGACCCGTGTGATTTCAAATGTTTCTGGCGCGTTTACTTTTCAAATCCTTACCAAACCAAGGTTACAATACAATTCGGCATGCGCATGCGACGACTCGCGCGCGCACTCCTTCCCATTTGTAGCAAGGGGTTCACGGAACCCCCAACAAACACATGATTTGTGATGAGCGAATGCGCGCACATACTACTTATTGTGGTGGGCGCACGGAACTGGCGACACCAACTTACCTGGGATGGTACGGGCCCATAGACGATGGGGCAGAAACGTGTGTAAATGCGACATGGAAAACAATACCGTTAAGCCGGGGGGGGCGGTTCTATTACCGCTTTAGGACGGGGAATAGGGCAATCTACGTTATTCCATCTACGTGGTGCAACATATGTGGCATACTCCGCGGTGTGCAGCTCACCCTTCTGAACTTGAAGTGTGATTCCACTGCTCGCGCAAGCATCAATACCGCGCGGCGGCGGTGGCGCTGACCAGCAGCGGGCATTTCATTGCGAGTGGGCGACTTGGGCGGGCGCGGTATCATGGCAACGTCGGCAACGGCAGACACGATGATGGTCGTAGCGATGCTGGCGACGACGACGAGGCCAGCGACCGCGTCGATGCTGATCATGCCGGCGACGATGGCGCCGTCCTCACGTCGGTGATGAAGGTGTTGGAAAGCGTTCGCCATGCGCCCGCGGCCGACGCGCGAGGGTGGCCGCATGGGGTTATTCGGTACGGATCGCGACCCACCCACCCCCCCAGCACGCGCACCAGGGCGTTCGAATGATTTGGACGTGCGGCGCGAAGAACCCCTTTAGCTGAACTCAATGGCAATGTCGAAACACCGGTGCTTCTGTTTAGAATTCTCAGGAGCGCGAGCGCAAGCATTTTTGAATACTGATATTGAAAATGTCGGGGTACTCGATTTGGAACCCCATGATAAACCGAAAGTTGGCGAGAGTATTCGTCATGCGCGCGCGGCGACGCGCGCACGCACTTAATCCCATCTGTGGCAAGGGGTTCTTGCGGCAGCACGCGCGCAAGAGCGTCCGAACGATTCCGGCACGCGGGCGCGAGAGGCCCGTCCGGTATCATGTAATGGAAATCTCCAAGCACCGATGGTTTTCTTCAAACTCCGCAAGAAACCGGACGCAAGCTTTTGCGGAACATCCTGTCTGCGAAGGTACGTGTTTTTACATGCGTTCGAGACACTCGATGTTGGAATGGCCATGCGAATTCACACATGATTCGCGGATTTTGGCATGCGCGCGCGACGACACGCGCTTGCGCACGTCTTCTCATTTTTACAAGGGATGGGGGGGGCAATCTCGGCCTGCCTGGGGTGGTCTCGGATTCGTCCCTAGGATGGACGATTGGGGCAAAATCGTGCGTAACGTACCACACGAAAAAAAGGGGGAATTCCGGGGGGGTAGGGGGCATATCCTAATACTACTTAAGAAAACTCTTCGTGGTGCAGTTGGCTCCGTGCAATCAGCGTGGCGAAAGATATGTGGATCGATTTACGTTGCGCAATCTATATGGTGCAATATGTGTGGAGCTATGTGGCGCAAGTGTTTTTTGTTTCATAGGTGAGTTGGCAAAAACCATGCCGTTGCAAACCTCCCACCCACCCACCCGCAAGTTGGTTTGTAAAACCCAGTCTGCGGCGATTGCGATGAGTGCTTGGCGTTGGCTGCTGCATTACTGCGGCCGCGCTAGCCCGAACACGCTCGCGCACGCAGCGGCCAGCGTGTTTGGCGCGACCGACGCGGCCGCGGTGGCGCTGACCGCTGGGCACTTCCCAGCGGGCACTGCAGTGTGAGCCGGTGGCTCGAGCGAGCGCGGTATCATTGCGACGCCGATAACGGTCGACATAATTATGCGAGTAGCGAATATGGTGGCGATGACGGCGATGACGACGGCAAGGCCAACGACGGCGCCGATGCTGATCATGCCGACGATGACGATGACGATCGCTTCGCGTCGGCGACGAAGGTTTTGGAAGGCGTTCGGCATGCGCGCGCGGCCTACGCGCGCGAATGGCCCGCGTGGTATTCTTTGATACGGGTCGTGCCCCCGGAACACGCGCGCAAGGGCGTTCGAATGAGTCCGACATGCGGCGGGAGAGACCTGCTTGGCAGAATTTGATGAAACTGATGAACCGCCGACTGTTTTCTTCAGAATCCGCAAGACCGCGAGCGCAGGACTCTTTTCTGAAAACTGATGTTGCAAGACCATTTGGTTTGATATGCTTTCGGAGCGCTCGTTTTTGAAATCTGGGCGTAACCCAACGTTTTGAAAGATTTCGACATGCGCGCGCGACGACGCGCGCGCGTGCACTTTGTCGCGTCGTTTGCACGGATTTCTTGCGCCAGCACGCGCGTAGGGTTGTTCGAACGATTTCGACATGCGCGCGCGAGAGGGCCTCTTGGTCGCATGTTATGACAGTTGCAGAACAACTAGACATTTGCCTGAAACATATGCAAAAAAACGCGGGCTCGGGGGCTGTGTTTGAAAACCAGTGTTGCGAAAGCTTGTGACTTGACATGTTTTCGTGACTCTCGGTTTGAAAACCAAAAAAAGGTGTCGGTATGCGCGCGCGGCGACGCGCGCCTGCGCACTTCGTCACATGTTTCTTCAAGGGGTGGTTAACAACTGATGATTTTTGATAAACGAGCGAGCGCGCATAATCTTGTTTGCCAGGGATGAAAGGGGGGGTCGGATTCGGGCGTGCCTGGCATGGTACGAATCCATGCTGGATGGAGGATGGGGCAGGATCCTACGTAACTTGCAACACGGATTGTGGCCGCAAACGGTCGGCGGCTTTCCGATCGCCAGATCGTTCCATATGGACCTGCGATGCGTCACCGGCGGCGACCAACCTCGAACGCACCCAGCGGGGTCGCTGCCGCGTCGGCACGGCACCACCCCACCGTGGCCGCGCTGCTCACGAACGGCCCAGTAGCCGTCAGCGCAGACGGAGCAGCCACACCGCGGCCCCCGGCTGCGGAGCAGAGCGGAGGGGGACGCGGATCGCTGGGGGGCCGAGGCGGGCGGGGTGGTCGCGGGAAAGGTCGTGGCATGGGTCGCTGGGCGGGTCGCGGGGCGTGTCGCGCAGCAAGTCGCGGTTCGGTCTCGGGGTGGGTCGCGGGGTGGGTCGTGAGCGCGTCGCAGGGCGACGACGACAACACAAAAAGCCGCACAGCAAAGCACAAGCATGAGCCCACACGAGTCACCACGGCCCGGCGCAGCACGACACAAGACAACGGGAAACCGCACCGCGGATTCCCGCTCCAGCCACGCACCCAGTGACACTGCAAGACAATACAGCGGAGGCCAGTCCACAAGAAACCTTCCACCAAAAACCCAACCCTGAAACCCCAGCACGTACATGGATTTTTGGTGTGGGAGCGTCGCTCTTTCCATGGCGAAACCATCAGAAGCCAGGGCACCCTAGAGGTAAGCAAGGTAATTCTTGGCATGCGCCTACACCAGACGCCGCCGATCGCGATCGCTGCAGGGCGCAGGAGCCCCCGCGAGAGGAGGCCGTCAGACCGAGCAAACTACAGTAGGTGTCGCGCCGACGCCTGGAAGACGTAGCACCCCGCAGTTGCGGATCACAGTGAGGGGGTTGCGGGGACGTCGGCGGACTGCGAGGCTCTTACGAAGCCCGCCGCAGGCACCACATTTTCACAAATGATACGACGGGCCCGCCGCAGGCGCCGAATTTCTCGTTGACACAATGTTGGTGGGGCGCGGGGTGAATCGCAGGTGGGTCGCGGGTGGGTCGCGGGTGGGTCACGGGTGGGTCGCGGGCCGGGTCCTGGGTATTTCGCGAGTGGATCGCGGGTGGGTCGCGGGTGAGTCGCGGGCGGGTCGCGGGGTGGGTCGCGGGTGGGTCGCGGGTGAGTCGCGGGGTTGATCGCGGGTGGATCCCCGTGCGTCGCGGGTGGTTCGCGAGTGGGTCGTTGATGGGTCGTGGGCCATGTTGCGGAGGGGGACGACGACAACAAACAACAACAACAACAACAACAACAACAACAACAACAACAACAACAACAACAACAACAACAATTACTAGCACGTGGGGACACTCCGTTCTCACCAGTGCCAGGGTTTTCATAGGAGGCGGGCAATACCCCCACTTTGTGGGGGGGCCGGTTCAAGCTCTACCAAATTTCCAAACGACTCTTCGCCACCACCCACACCCAGCTTCCCGCCCTATGACGTTCGGACACTTCACTTCGTGGCATGCGGACGACCGTGGCTACTATTCAGGGCCCCGCGGCCGACGACGACGGCGTGCGCGCGCGAAGAAAAAACGAATGTGTCCCGCATGGTATTATTTGACAGGGATGATGGCCCTGGCAGGTGCGCAACCGTTGTTGCAGAAGTTCGAAAAAGTTGCTCGCAAAAGCCCGTTTGACAGAAATGTTTAAAAAGTGTTGGGTTTCCTACGAATCCGCAAGAGCGCGCGGGATGAAATTTTGATTTTTTTTTTTTTTTTTTTTTTTTTTTTTTTTTTTTTTTTTTTTTAAAAAAAAAAAAAAAAAAAAAAACATTGTTTGTTTATGTTTTTATGTTAAAATCGGTACGAAAACAAAGGTTTTGGAAGGATTTCGTTCTGCGCGCGCGAATGTCCACTTTACCTTATTTTTTGCAAGGGATTCTTGAAGTTTGGCTATGTTAGAACAAGAAATGTCAACTTTAGCTTAATTTTTGCAAGGGAAAGCGGGCCGTAACAAAACAACCGGATCCGACCAACCCGTTTTGCCTGAGACTTCCTCACGAAAATGATGAAACATGTGGCTGCGGCCTAGGCGCGGCGGGGGGGTCGTGCACCAGGGGTCCCAACAATAATTATTCTTTAAAAGTAATAATTTATTACTAGCACGTGGGGACACTCCGTTCTCACCAGTGCCAGGGTTTTCATAGGAGGCGGGCAATACCCCCACTTTGTGGGGGGGCCGGTTCAAGCTCTACCAAATTTCCAAACGACTCTTCGCCACCACCCACACCCAGCTTCCCGCCCTATGACGTTCGGACACTTCACTTCGTGGCATGCGGACGACCGTGGCTACTATTCAGGGCCCCGCGGCCGACGACGACGGCGTGCGCGCGCGAAGAAAAAACGAATGTGTCCCGCATGGTATTATTTGACAGGGATGATGGCCCTGGCAGGTGCGCAACCGTTGTCGCAGAAGTTCGAAAAAGTTGCTCGCAAAAGCCCGTTTGACAGAAATGTTTAAAAAGTGTTGGGTTTCCTACGAATCCGCAAGAGCGCGCGGGATGAGATTTTGACATTTTTTTGTTGAAAAACCATTGGTTTTTTGATGTTTTTATGTTAAAATCGCTGCGAACACTAAGGTTTTGGAAGGATTTCGTCTTGCGCGCGCGAATGTCCACTTTACCTTATTTTTTGCAAGGGATTCTTGAAATTTGATTATATTAGAACAAGAAATGTCATTTTCTATTGTTTTTTGCAAGGGAAAGCGGATTACAACAAAACAACCGGATCCTGTACACACCCTCTTTTCTGAGGCTTCCTCACGAAAATGATGAAAATGTAGCTGCGGCCTAGGCGGCGCAGGGGGGGCGCGCACCAGGGGGCCCAACAATAATTATTCTTTAGAATAAATAATGTTCAACAACAACAGCAGCAACAGCAACAGCAACAGCAACACCAACAACACCAACACCAACAACAGCAACAACAACAACAATGACAACAACAACAACATCAACAACACCAAAACCACCACCAACAACAACAACAACCAACTAACAACAACGAACAAACAAACAACCAAACAAACAAACATTCCAACAACAACCATCCGCACCGCAGAACCTCACTTCAACCACGCGCCCAGGGACAGTGAATGGCCGTTCGGCTCCCTTCACTCTGACGCAGCACCCCGCAATGGCGGACAAGAGCGAGGGAGCGGGAGCGGAGTGGGTCACGGGTGGGTGGCGGGGTGGGTCACGGGGTGGGTTACGGAGGGGACGACGACAACAAACAACAACAAACAAGCAGAATCCGCGCCGCATAATCCCATGTCAGCCACGCACCCAGGGATGGTGGGAAACCGTTCGGCCCCCTCACTCTGACGATGCCTTCAACGGGGGTGCACTCCGACAAATGATCCCCGTGTTATAGCCCTCTTCCTCAGACTCACCAGCAGGGCGAGGTGCGAATCGAGGCAAGTCCACGAATGCCTTCCACATCCCCTGCGGGTGTCCAGACCCGCGGAGGATGTGAGGGCCCGAATTCTGATGAACGGACAACACGCCCTCATACCGATAGGGCGTGCTGACACACTTCTTGCGATGTGAGGGAGCGTTACATGTACGGCTGCGGGTTGTCATTCGAGCAGGACCTCCCTCAGACAAAACGGACCCACAGTCCCCCACTGGAACACTCCCCCAGGAATCCTGGGTGTCTTATAGATCGAGGTGCGATTTGAAAACTCATGGAGTTTCGAACCCCACATCGGAGGCATGACCGCGGCTGCGATGGGCGTTCTGAGGCGACGGCAGCAGGCGTCTGAACTCGTCGAAGTTCAACAGGCCGTCGCCATCTTGGTCGTACCTTCGCAGACCAGCGCGGCGTCCGCTGCACGCTGAAGAAATGTGCAATCCCATGCAACAAGATACGACGAGTTCGTGTCATGACTCCGGAATCAATTCCTGACACCGCGTGGACCGCTCAATCTTGAGCGATCGTCGCTTTGCGAAGCTGCGGATCGTTCAAGATCGATTAATGATTGATCTTGGGCCATGGTCGGCGTTGAGCCTTGAAAGCCCAGGGGGTTGCCGCGCGTCGACACGACGGGAACCTGCAGCTACGCACCACTGGCTGGGTAAGCAATGCCCCAATGCCGATCGCTTGTCCCGTTGAGTGTTGTTGGACCTGAGGTCGAAAACGGGCCTCACGAGACCAGAACTGACGCCGAACGTCTGACAACACCGCAATGCCAGGAAATTGCTCTCACAGAGAGAGAGAGAGAGAGAGAGAGAGAGAGAGAGAGAGCAAGAGGAAGGGATAGAGAGAGAGGAGAGAGAAAGAGCTAGACAGAGAGAGAGAGAGAGACAAAGATAACAAAAGAGGAAAACAACACATCAAGACAACAGCGACGACGACAACGACATCAATGACGACGACGACGACGACTTCCATGATGACTCTGAAACGTCAGGGCCCCGTAAGCGGGGACTGCAACAGACCAGGGCGCAGGGCTCATCGGCGCGCCGCAGAGCACTGCGGCCGTGGATCGGCACAGTCTCTGTTCCTCTTCCCCCTCCTCCTCCTCCCCCTCCTGCTCCTCCTCCTCCCCCTCCTCCTCCTCCTCGTCGTCCTCCTCCTCCTCCTCCTCCTCGTCCTCCTCTCCTCGACATCCTCTCCTCCTCCTCCTCCTCCTCCTCCTCCTCCTCCTCCTCCTCCTCCTCCTCCTCTTCCCCCTTTCTCCTCCCCATCCTTCTTCACGTTCGGCAAACATTAGGCGGTGCCTGTTGCGTTACCCTCCTGCGCCTCTTCCTCCTCCTCCTGCTCCTCGCCCCTCCTCGCTCCTCGCCCTCCTCCTGACTTTTCAGGCGCCATCGTGGAAGGGGCGCGCGGTTCGCAACGTCCTGGTGTGCAGTGTCCTGGCGTCTGGGGTCTTGCAAACTCGCAGAAAAGATAACGCCGACGATGATTCTGAAACGTCAGGGCCCGGTAAGCGGGGACTTCAACAGACCAGGGCGCAGAACACTGGCGCGCCGCAAAAGCACTGCGGCCGTGGATCGACAGAGTCTCCGTTGCTCCTCCCCCTCCTTCTCGTCCTCCTCCTCCTCCTCCTCCTCCTCCTCCTCCTCGATCTCCTCCTCGTCCTCCTCCTCGTCCTCCTCCTCGTCCTCCTCCTCGTCCTCGTCATCGTACTCCCCCTCCTCCTCCTCCTCCTCCTCCTCCTCCTCCTCCTCCTCCACCTCCTCCCCTCCTCCCCTCTTCGTCCTCGTCCTCGTCCTCGTCCTCCTCCTCCTCCTCCTCCTCCTCCTCCTCTCCTCCTCCTCCTTCTCCTCCTCCTCTCCTCTCCTCGTCCTCCTCGTCCTCGTCGTTCTCCTCCTCCTCCTCCTGCTCCTCCGCCTCGTCCTCTCCTCGTCCTCCTCCTCGTCCTCCTCCTCCTCCTCCCCTCCTCGTCCTCCGCCTCGTCCTCGTCCTCCTCCTTCATCTCCTCCTCTTTGTACGTTCGGCAAACAAGCGGGGGGGGGGCCTGTTGCGCTATACTCCTCTTCCTCCTCCTCCTCCTCCTCCTCGCCCCTGCTCGCCCCTCACCCTCCACCCGCCTCTGCGGGCGCGACCGTGGAAAGTGCACACGGTCCGTAAAGTCCTGGTTTGCAATGTCCTGGCGCTTGGGGCTCTGAAGCCCTGGCAATGGCGCATCCAACCATGCGACGTTTTGCAAGTAGAACGCGAAGGTGCTGGAATCGCTGGACCTGGTAGCCTTCGGGCCATCGCTTGGGCCTCCCGCGGCCGTTTGGGACGAGCCGGGCAGCCCCAGAACGCCTTCAGTAGGGCGCGGCTGCTGGAGCGAACCCAGAGGCGAGAAAAGCCCAAAGAGCCAACGACGACCACCGAGTACTCACCACGCGATGAACGACGACGAGCGACAACGACGAACGACGAACGACGAACGACGACGACGACGACGACGACGACGACCACTGCGCGTGGGAAGCGCACTGCTCCAGCAGCTCCCGCGCCTCCTCGCGCAGGGCCGCCGAGACGCCCTCGTGGCCCTGCACGTCGTCGAGCATGGCGTGGAGCTCCTCGATGGGGAGGGGGGACCGGCCGTCGATCGTCGTGGCTTCAGGATGGCTGGTGGGGCGCCTTGCTCGCTCGATCGATGTGGGGGTCGAGGAATTCAGGGAACAACCTCCTCCTCCACCTCCTCCTCCTCCTCCCTCCTCCTCCTCCTCCCTCCTCCCTCTTCCCTCTTCCCTCCTCCCTCCTCCCTCCTCCCTCCTCCCTCCTCCCTCCTCCCTCCTCCCTCCTCCTTCCTCCTTCCTCCTACCTCCTCCCTGCTCCCTCCTCCCTCCTCCCTCCTCCCTCCTCCTTCCTCCTTCCTCCTCTTCTGCCTCCGCCTACCCCTTCTGCTCCTCCTGCCTCCTCCCTCCTCCCTTCTCATTCCTCCTTCCTCCTCCCTCCTACCTCCCGCCTCCGCCCTCCGCCCCTCCCTCCTCCTCTGCCCTCCGCCCTCCTCCCTCCCACCTCCTCCCTCCTCCATAGAAGCTTCTGGTCGTCCCCATGACGCCCAATAGCGCGCCCAATCGCGGAAAGTTCCGTGGTTTACGCGCTGACCTCGCAGGTCCAGCGCGGGCCGTCGATCGTGCACCGCGGAAAGATGGGTAAAGAGTCTTGCTCGTTCGCTTGGCTTATGGATCAAAAAAGATCAGCCAACGACAATCGTGAGAAAACTTTCGGAGACGCGCCAGGATCGCTTGGATCGGCGCCTGCGGCGCCGCACTCGGGGCGCTCCACGCACTGGGGAGGGGGGGGGTCTAGCGCACAGATCCAAGAGATCCGCGCGCACCTCCGAAGGTGTCTGCTTATGCTGCGAGCTTTTCCTGCAGTAGGTGCCCGACCACAAGAAACCCTCCACAAGAAACCCAACCCTGAGACCCCAGGACGTCCGTTGGTTATTGGCGTGGGAACGTAACGCTCTCCACAGCAAAACCATCGAAACCCAAGAAACCCAGGGCACCCTGGAGGCAGGCAGGGCATTTCTTGGCATGGCTCTCCACTGCACAGAGGAGCACAGAGAACAAGGAACGATAGGTCGAGGTTCGCTTGGATTGACGGTCCATGGTCAGGATCGTGGATCCAAGAAGCATCGCTCGTTCGTTCGCCCGCTTGGCTGGGGAATCGAGGACAAGGACAGGACCCATCGAGGTCCGCTTGGACCGAGGGGCCACGAGCAGGATCGATGGCCGATGGCAAGGACCGATCGGTTACTGTAGACTTAGGTCGGGCATGTCCTCCCACAGGCGGATTTTGAAAGAAAAACGAAAGTAGTCAAACATAGCCGAATATAATAAGAAACAAAATCCCTGATTATGTCTTGGCTAAGTTTGCGAATATTCGTCCTGTAGAAGGCCATGCCCGACTTAAGGTTAGATGCTGCCTTTCAGCTCGTCGGAGCCTTGCTGGAGGGCGCCGCCGCGGAATACGCTGCAGCCGCCACGAACGACCGGCAGAGGGCGCGCCCCAAGAGAGGTCGGAGGGTCGATGACATCGCCCTCCGCCGAGGATCGATGCTATCGCCCTCGATCCTCGTTTCCGTCTTCGTCGAAAACCACGGATCGCCGTCGCCGTCGAGGATCTGGGGCAGACGAAACCACCTCTAGTAGAGGCCTCCTAGATGGGGTCTAGCAACCACCTCTAGCAGAGACCATCTCGGATGTCCAGGTCTAGCAAAAACGCGAATGTGTGAAGCGGCCTGGGGCCATACCGAGCGGGCGCGGGCTTGCAAATAGGACTCGCCAATCAACTTGGCAAGGCTGGGGGTTCAAGATTAACCTCCGATGCTGAGGATAATCCAGGGGGGCGCGGCCAACGAAATTGGCCAAGAATGGACCGAGGAGGCAAGGGCGCAAGGGTATCCTTGGGAAGGTTTCCCGTCCTTGCCATGCGGGTTGACATCTCAGACGCCCCGGGGAAATTTTTCGGGCATCTGGCGTGTCGCCTCCGTCGCCGCGGCTTGGGGCCGCCTCGCAGAATCTTGGCAGGGGGCAGGCCCAGGGGTTTCTCACCATCGCGCTCGTGGCCACGTCGTTCGGCGTTTGGACCCAAGCGAGAAGGTGACCCTCGCAGGCCACGCTCGCAGCTGCCTGCGCGCATGGCGCAGCGCCCCAGGCCGACGGACCAGAACTCCGAGTTCGTACCCCCCCCGCCCCTTCCATCCCCGCCCCTTTGTCGGTGGCAAGTCATGGGAGCCTCCCATACCATCTTGTCGGCTCTTGCGAGTCGACGCTAACTCGACGCTAATCGACGCTAAGTCGACGCTTCTCGACGCTAGCAGCCGCCGAATCGGTGCTACCCCACCGGCTCCCAGACGCTACATCGACGCTTGTCGACGCTGAAGACATAACTACGAGGGTACACAAGGCTCCCGTCATTTGCTACCGAACCCTCCCCGACCTCTTCAACCGCCTCCCTCTGCCTCTGGGCTTCTCCGCGGCGTAGCGCGTGAGATGAATGTATCCCTCGTCGAGCGGCCAGAGGCGCAAGGCTTTTGTCGCGAATCGGTGAATTCGCCGGAACGCGTGGGCGGGCGCGCTCCTGCCTCCCCCTCATCCTCTCGCGCCACAACGGGCATCCTGTCCTGTCCCTTCCATCCCTGCCCATTGTGCTGACATCTTCTTTGTCTGCGGACGCGTGTCGCAGGAGACCTGGACCACCCAACAAAAGACCCATCGTGTCATGCGCAATCGTAAAAGGGGAGATGAAAACATAGGGGGAGGAGGAGGATGATGATGATAATGAGGAGGAGGAGGAGGAGGAGGTGGAGGAGGAGGGGGGGGGAGAAGGAGGAGAAGGAGGAGGAGGAGGAGGAGGAGGACTGCCGAGTACGCAATAGGCTGTCAAGGCACCTGAACCCATATTTAAGGATGATGCGACCTTCAGAAGTGCATTGTTCCGCAACCCACTGCCTAACGCAGTTTGCCCCTGCAGGGAGGATATGTTCAAGGACTTTTGGAGGTCTCATCCTTAAAGTCGCGAGTGTGGCAGAAGCCAGTGCGCCCTGACTTGGTTTCAGCCATACTTCGGCAGGACAGCCAGTTGGGCTGTACTGGTGCGCCACGGGGGCTCAAAGTTTCCCATGTTACTCATTTCTGCCAGTCTTTTTGGGGCCCCCCAAACAAAGCCGTGGCATGCTGCGAGGGGGTGTCGTAGAATCGGGGGGGAAACCCCTCGCCTGAGCATTATGTGTGCGGTGCGAAAAATACTCTCCTGGGAAACGTCCAGGGCCGTATGTGAGCGCTTCCCTCACAACTCACCCCACAGGAAGTTAAGGATGAAACCAGTTGGACAGCGACCGTTCAGGTTGCCACGGTCAATGCCGACCCTACGGTTGACAGGGGGACCTGTTCGCACAGACGCGGGCAAGCCCACCAAGTGGGATATCAGTTGCCGAAGGAAGATGAAAAAAGTTAGCTCCTTGCCACAGCTGAGTACACATGAGCAATATATCTGAATATGTATATGTATATATATATATACATATATACATACATATATACATACATATCCGCCGATCCGCCGTGCGAGTTTCAAGGAGTCTCAGCTACAGCCTCGAGGCTGAGCCTCAGCCTCTGGGAGGTTTGCCGGGGTGGCTCTGCCGGGGAAGGGGGGGTGGGGTTGGGGGGGGGGGGTACGAGTTTTCCGGCGGTCGCGGGGATCTGCTTTTACAGAAGGCTCTAATCTCGAGGATGCGCTAAGAGGATGGCCGCGGCCGCAAAAGTCTCTGAGGACGGTCTATGAAAGTCCCGAGACCCCGAAAGATCGCCCGAACGCGTCCAAGATGGCCCCAAGACGGCCCCAAGACGGCCCAAGAGCCTTCCAAGACGTCTGAAGAGGCCTCCAAGAGGCCTCCCATGAGGGCCCCCAGAGGCAAAAATCTGTGATTTCCATGTTTTTTTTGTTTTTAAATGTTTTTGGGGTTGTCGCTTTTTTCGGCTTTCCGACGCTCCAAGACGGCCCAAGAGGCCCCCAAGACCGCTCGAAGACGGCCCAGGAGGCCCCCAGACAGTCCCAAGACGGCCCAAGAGGGCCCCAAGGCGGCCCAAGAGCCGCCCAAGACGGCCCAAGAGGCCCCCAAGACGGCCCCAAGAGGACCCAAAAGAGGGACGAAAAGCGGAACAAATCTAGCCTTCCAGCCCACGAGGCCCCCAGGAGGCCCCAAGAGCCCCCAAGAGGGCCCCCAAGAGCCCCCAAGAAGCCCCCACGACGCCCTGACAGGCTCCTGTGCGAGTGTCTGTGTGTGGTGCGTGTCTGCGAATGTCTGTGCGTGCTAGTGTCTGGCGTGCGCCTAGTGTGTCTCTGTATGTGTGTCTGCCGTATGTGCATTTGGTCGTGTGCGTGCGTGAGGTGTCCGCGTAACATGTGTATCCGAGCGCCCCGGATCGGCGGCACTGGCCGAAGGCCACTAGAATATATATATATATATATATATATATACATAGATCCTTCACCCGAGGGCCTGACCAGCAGAGGCGAGGGAGAGGCGAGAGAGGAGGAAGCCCAGGACAGGAGAGCGGAGGGCCAGCGCAATGAACCAGACAGCCGGGTACAGGGTGTCTGGAAAAACGCGTTTCTTCGACACCAGACAACCGGGTACATGGTGTCTGGGAAAAACGTGCTTCTTCTACAGTGCTATTACTCTCTCGCTGGCAGAGGAGACACTCGGCGCCTCCTCGGGTCAGCAACTTTACTCCGAATCTACAATCGTGAAACTGATGGAACAGTTTCGACTCCACGAAAGCTGTGAGAACCTCAATCCGCCGCCAGCCGTGTCCGTAGCCCCCTACCCCAACCTCCACTCCTCCCGCTCCTCCAGGGAGAGAGAGAGAGAGAGAGAGAGAGACGCGGTCGCTGGGAGGCTGCAGCGGGCCTCCAGTGAGGGCGGAACTTGGGGCTTGAAGGTGTCACGGATTACCCCTCAGGGGCGTTGCAACAAAGTGTGGCCCTTTTTGCCCCCCACCGTCTCCTCAAAACCGCCCGCGACCCGTGAGTAATGCGGCCCCCGCCCCGCAAGCCGTAACCAGCC